TGAGGCCCCCTCACAGGACCGAAGGCACCTCCGAACCACCGGCCTGCAGGGGGTCAGCCCCCCAGCGTTCCCTAGGAAGGATGCCTCCGCCTTCGGAAGGGCCCGAGGTGACCTCAACAGGGTCTGCGTCCATCCGCCGGACGTCCCGCGGGTTTGTGCCCCAAAGTCCAATCTGGGACGATGAGAACAGCCTCTGTCCTCCGTGAAGTGGGGGGAAGAGGACTGTGGACGAGGAGGGGAACGTGTACGTCCACCACACACGCATTCGGGGGCGAATACGTTTTAGGGAAGAACACGTGGACTTGGAGTGTCTGAGCATGTCCCCCTTACACTGTCCTGGAGCCGGAAGGTCACACTTCGGGTCAAGGATGGTTGCTCCGCTGTCTGCTTCGAGAAACTCCCCGAGACGAAGAGGGTTATTCTGAACCCCCAAGCCATTGCCCCTCTGCCTGCTCTGCACAAACCTTTCTCTTTCCATGAGGGCTTTTAGGAAGAGACCTTGAGATTTGTTTCAATGGACAGGAGCCCCGTGCTGCCCCGTCCCCACCTGACTTTCTGGCCTGTCCCACACACACTGGTCCTGTTCTCGGACCCAGAACCACTCCCCCCCCGCCGGGCTTTATCCGTGAAGGCTCGGCCTCAGGTCGGTTCAGCCAGGACGGGCCTCTCGGCCTCACCGAGCTGTGTCTACACGTTCCAAAGGCCCGTTTCTTCGTTTCTTCGCGGAGAAGGGGTGGAGGGAGGTGGGCGGCTTGGATCAGGGTTGGGCGTCAGCCGCGGACCAAGAGTCATGAGTTCGAGTCCCATCAAGGGCATGTGCTCACCTGCAGTTTGTCCCCGGCCCTGGCTGGGGTCACACGGGAGGCAGCCACTCGATGTGACCCTTTCATGTCGCTGTCTCTCTCTCTCTCTCTTCCTCCCACTCAATCTGAACAAAAATGGAAAATCGTCCTCCGGTGAGGATAAAAAACCACCACCCTGTAACCTGGAGACAGCACAGAGCAGCGTGGGGGGGGGGGGGGACCCTGGAGCCGAGGGAAGAACGTGCTGGTGTTCAACCCCCGTCGCTGGAAGGGGCCCGTCCAGAAAGCCTGCGTGTGTGTGTGTGTGGGCGGGGGGGGAGGGGAGGCGGGGGGGCGGGGGGCGGGGGGCAGCCAAGACTCGAAGCACAGCTGGGTGGGGAGGGAGTTCCCATGGCAACGCCACAGGGGGGTCTGTGGCCCCGTGAAGACACCAGCAGGGAGCGGGACCTTGACTCACCGCCAAACAGGAGTGCGGCCCCCAGGTAACCACGCGTCAGGATCGAGCCCCGCGGGCTTGCGCACGAGGGTTGTGGGTTATTTATTTACGGTTAATCCTCACCCGAGGATATTTGTCCATTGATTTTTTTTCCACTTTTTATTTCATTTATTTGTTTTATTTTTATTGTTGAGAATATAACAGATGGTCCCCCTATTCTTCCCCCATTGACCCCTCCTCCCCACCCCCCTCCTGCCTCCCCCACTGTTGTGTCCACTGGTTGTGCATGTAAGTTCTGCATGTATCTCTTCCCACCCCACCCCCATCCCTCTGAGGTTTGCCTGTCTGCTCCCCACTTCCATGACTCGGTGTATTTTGATCAACAGCTTATTTGGTTCATTAAATTCCACAAATAAGTGAGATCATGTGATATTTGTCTTTCTCTGTTTGGCTTGTTTCGCTTAGATCATGCTCTCCAGGTCCCTCCAGGTCGTCTCAAAGGATGAGAGATCTTCCTTTCTTACAGCTGCATAGTACTCCATTGTGTACATGTACCACTGCTTTTTTATCCACTCATCTCCTGATGGACACTGGGCTGTTTCCAGATCTTAGCTATTGTAAATAGTGCTGCTATGAACATGGGGGTGCATATAGGGCGCGTATTTAACAGGCGATGAACCCTGCTGGTACTGGGGGAGGGGAGGTGATGGGCTGATCTCACGCCCTAGAAACGAGGGGCCCGTGTTCTGAGTCTTCGTGTTCCTTCTCCGTATCTGCACGACCCCTTTCAGGGCGGGCTGTGGCCAGAGGAAATGGAGGAGCCTGGGAGACTCGGGGAAACCCAGCTCTCGGCAAAAAGTCCAGGAAAAAATACGGGTTTGTCTACACGGGCCCCCCTGCCGCGCCCCACCACGGACAGGAAGGCACGCCCACTGAGTGGGGTCCAGGCGGACACAGAAACCTGGACCATGGAAGGCCACAGCTGCCAGGCACCCCCACATCCCAGCGCGGACTCGGGATGCCAGGGACCTGGCTGCGGACGCCCCAGGGGGACACCTGACTTGGGGAAAGGAAACACCTGAGGCCACCACCAAGCCTGAGCCTGTGGGCAAGGACAGGGGTCACGGCTGCAGGAACCTCTGTGGGGAAGGGGACGCTAGGACTAGAGGGAAGACCCCACCCCAAATGCCCCCAGACCATGATGACCACGGACAGGCGGGACATGTTTTCGGCCAGGAGCCTAGGACAGCATCATGATGGGGCCCGTACAGCTTGGAGCGCTCCGTCCCTCCCAGACTCGGCGAGTCTCCCCTACACCAGGCACGGACCGCCGGGGCCACGTCACCGGTGTCAGCTGGTGTCACCGCAGAGCCTGGACGCCCTTAAAGAAAGGGGGGCGCCCCGGACCTCCCCTCTTCGTGTCTGGGGCCCGTGGAGCCAGGCTCTCCGTCTGACGTGGCAGACCACCTGGACCCCGGGTTCGGGTTTGGGGTGTGTGTCTGGGGGTTTGCGGGGAGCGAGTGCTGATGCTGTTGTTGGCCCCTGACCCACGAAGGAGCAGACCCCCCAGCAGCACCCACGCTCGCGGGCTCCCTGGGGGCGGCGTGTCGTCTGGGGAGGCAGGGAGGCCTGCCCACCTGCAGGCAGGTGTGGGGGGGTCACCCTGGACCGTGGGGCCGAGGGAGGCTTGTAAGGGGCTGAGAGGAGAAGAGGGGCCTGGGGAGGAAGGGGGGCGGGACTGCATCTACCTCCGCTGTGGGAGTCTGTGGACGATCCGGGCAGCATGACCCCAGGGACCCCACGTGGAGGCGGACAGGCCCTCCCCGGCTCTGCACGTCACCCCCTCCCCCGGGCAACCCCCGGCCTGCTCCTGCAGGAGGGGGCGGAACAGAAACCCCCGGGTCAGCAGACCGAGAGGCCGAGCAACTTGAAAACCTTGCTTTGGGTTAAAACTCCCGGCTCTACTTACAGAAAAAGACAGATGCCGCTGGATCTGCCGCGTGGACGCTACCAACACGAAAAACGTGCGCTCACGGAGGGCAGCGCGGCTGCCTGGCTGCGGGAGGCAAGGTGAGGGGCAAGGCTCACGCTGGGTTGTGAAAGGAACGGTCCCGGGGCGTGCCCAGGGCTGACCGTGCGAGCAGACAGGAGCCCAGGTCGTCAGCGTCCCGTCACCAGATCCACCGTCCTGCAGCCGCGCGGAGGCCAAACTGGCAACCACTGCGCAGACTCCAGCATCTCCACCAACAGTTAATTTACAAGTTTTTAAAAGCCTGGCCGGTGCAGCTCAGTGGCTGGGCCTCAACCCTGCACCAGAAGGTCGCCGGTTCGATTCCCGGTCAGGGCACAGCCCAGGTTGGGGGCCTGACCCCAGTGGGGGGCGTGCAGGAGGCGGCCAGTCGACGTTCTCTCTCATCGATGTTTCTGTCTCTCTCTCTCTCTCTCCCTAAAATCAATAAAGAAAAAAAGAAAACACACTTCACACTCTGCCAGCTTAGCTGCCCCTCCACGAGGTAATTATTGGGGGAAGAGACAGGCGTCCAGGGACCTCCCGGCGAGTCCGTCCCACTGACCGTGTCCATCGACCCAGAAAGACACAGGCCACCCACACACTTTCCAGGGTTTTTATTGTCGACAAGCATTTACAACCTTCCAGTCATAGACCTAAAAACATAAAAATAGACCTTCTTTCAGCTTATAAAAGAAATATATAAGAACTCTGGACATGGACACATCAGGACTTTGTACAAGTGGGCGGCCCGTCGGCGGCCGCCTCCTCCCGGAGCTCAGGGCCCGGCCGGGGCGGGAGGCGGCAGCCGCGCGGGCTGCCGATCCCCATCGGACACACGGGGCTGCGGGCGGTGCGGACGGACTGACAGCGAGGGTACAGACACCGATTCCAAAGCGCTTCAGAAAGTCAGAAGACACAGCAAAGGTTCAATCGAGTGAAAGTTTCCAAAGACCAAGCTCAAAGCCCCGGGGACCGGAGGGGGCGGGCGGGAGCGCAGGAAGCAAGCGGGGTGAAGCAAGGCTGCGGCCTCTGTCCCCACAAGGTCACACTGACCCCTACGGAGCTGGGGCTACGATGGGACTCGGGCTCGAGGTGACTGTGTCGAACACCAGGGGGGTACTCCCCCCAAAGTGTTCATGTTATTTAGATCCTCCTTAGGAAGTGGACATGGTGAAGGGGGGTGGGGGGGCTTTAAATCCTCTAACAAACAAAGATCGAAAGTGCTGTTGCTCCCCCGGAGCGGGACCTGCCCACCTGCCCACTCTCCTCCCGGGCGGTCGCCTGTTCTGTTGGCGCAAAGGAAGGTCCAGGCGGACGTGCTGGAGTCGGGGTGGACGGTCAGGGAAGGGGAGGCAATCTACAGTGAAGGTGCTGCTGGGGAAAGGGGGGGGGCGTGATCACCATGGCAACCCCAGGAGTCTCCCATCCCCCCACGGGGACAGACACACCTCTGCCTCTGGGTGTGCACTCAGCCGGGAGCCCATCTCAGACGCCCAACCGACCCACCAAACACAATCTTCTTGGACACGAGTCTCCCCGGCAGGGGCACCTGGCCGGCCGTTCACCCATAAACATGAAACCACCGCCTCGCTCTCTGCAGAAGGCAAAACCCTCCTTTTCAGACTCCGGGCTGCTCGATACTGTAAAACACTGTGCCCCACCTCGCTGGTAGAATACAAACAGCAGCATCGCCCCACCCCGCCCCGCCCCGCCCTGGTGAATTTGGATCTCCCCAAGGAGACGGCATCCTCGTCGTTCTTGGCACAGAACTTCCAAACTCGGACCTGGTGTGAGCGGCCAAGACCAAAGCAGGGGGAGGCTCATGGAGACGCCGTCTGCTCACAGGCCCCGGGAGCAGGCACCCCAGACCGCAGGGGAGGAGCAGGGTGCTCTTCCTCCCGCTGTGACCCCAACAGGAGCCACGGCGATGGGTGTCAGCGGGTGGTCTGTCTGCTCCTTCTCCGCTCCCCTAACCTGGTGTGCACCTGACCTCCCGAGTCTGATTCCCACGGCTACGGAACCTTCTCGACTCTCTGGCCCTGACGCTGAGACCACAGACGGCCTTCGTCTGGGTTCAGGACGGTTCTTTCTGACGCTGCTGTTAGAGTGACGCCCGGGTGGCGCGTGGCTTCAGGGCAGTGGCTCCCAGACTGTGCAAGAGTGCACCCGAAGGGGACATTCTCGTCCTCGAGGGGGCCGGGGGGGCCGGAGGGGGCGGGGACGAGTATCTACAGCACGGAGGGGCCCAGTCAGATCTCCGTGTTCAGTTTCCGGGCCGGGCCGAAGTCTTCCCGCCGGACCCAGATGACGTCCTCGCCCGAGCGCTCGGGGCCCGTGTCCACGCCCGACAGCGCCTCCTGCTTCCTCAGCTGCGTCATGCGGGACTCGTGGCTGTCCAGGCTCTGGCGGCCTCTCTCCCGCTGCCCGAGGGAGGCGGCCCGGAGCCGCTCGGGCAGGTCTCTGTCCCCGTCGGCGCCCCTGGCGGCCTCACAGAACTCGTCATCGTCGCTGAGGATGTCCGTCTCCTTGACGCCGTCCGGCTCCTCGTACCGCGCGAGGTCGAACTGCTCCTCCACCCACCGGTCAGTGTCCCCGGCGCCGGGGGGCTGCTGGGACTCTCCCTCGGGGCTGCTGGCAGGCACGGCGTCAGAGTCGATGGTAAACCTGTTCCGAGCCAGGCGCCGCCTCCTTCTGCCAAGAGACTTGCTGGGGGCGGACACTGCGCACACAAAACAGAAACAAAGCCCACGTGCTTCACGCGCGGAAGAGCCAGAGCACAGACCGAAGGAGAGCAGCGGACGCGGGCTCCGGGCCGGACGTCACCTGTGTCCTGGGGTCTCGACCTCACACGTCTGACTTGGCGGGTGTCAGAGCCACCGACCGAAGGGCAAGGGGACACGGGGACACGGGGAGCAGGGGACAGCTCTCTCCCCGTGCACCCTGCAGACAGACGCCCGCTGCGGTCACACAGACCACTGAACTTGGATTAGTCAGTGCCCCGACGCTGACCACGTCCCAGGAACGGGGCTCAAGGGTTTCCTGGGGCTGGTCCCTATCACCTTGCTTTCTGGGAAACTCACGGTGCTGTTCCCTGAGGACCCGCAGTTGGATTAAGGGCCTGGGTCCCTCTGGCAGAGCCTGCGGGGAGGGGGCCCCAGAGACCGGGTCTGGGCGAGTCCCCTGCCCTGCCTGGCAAACCTGGGGACAGGCTAGGCCGGCATGCGCCTCAGGGCCCCTGACAATGTCCTCAGAGATTCTCGTTCACAAAGCAGTACAATCCCGGGGCCTGAGTGCGACAGGAAATAGTAACAGGACCCTCAGGCTGCCGACGACAGTGCTGAGCAGTCAGGGAAGATACCCAAACCCGAGTCCCTGCTCTCACCCCACTGCCCGCTGGGACGCCAGAATCATTCAAGACACACACAGAAGACGCCACCCAGGCCACGAGCAAGCGAACAGCCCACGGCCCACACATCCACACCAGAGGCACATGGCGGGGCTGCTGACCCCTCCTGGCCAGACGTGGCTACTGCGTCCACCAGGTGATAGTGGATTCCAGCACTGTTCAGGAGGGCCCTGCCCTCAGGAACACAGGACACGGAACGTGGGACGTGGAACGTGGAATATGGAACATGGGACATGGACGTGGGACATGGAACGTGGGACATGGAACATGGGACATGGAATATGGAACGTGGGACATGGAACGTGGAATATGGGACATGGGACACGGAACGTGGAACATGGAACATGGGACACGGAACGTGGAATATGAAACGTGGGACATGGGACATGGAACGTGGAATATGTAACGTGGGACATGGAACATGGGACATGGAACATGGGACACGGAACGTGGAATATGAAACGTGGAATATGGAACATGGGACATGGAACGTGGAATATGTAACGTGGGACATGGGACATGGAACGTGGAATATGTAACGTGGGACATGGGACATGGAACGTGGAACATGGGACATGGAACGTGGAATATGGAACATGGGACATGGAACGTGGAACACAATGTGGCACGAGGAGGGGAATGAAAACCGTTTCCAGGAAGAGTGGAAAATAGAAAAACCTGCTATTACTCCACTGGGAAGAACAAGAAGTCCTGCTGTTTTATCAACTGTGCCAGAGTGCAACCAGGCTGTCCCCCAAAACCCCTGGAAACCACCTCCGTTCCACACAGGGCTGCTGTTGATGACGAGCGTGAAGCAGCGAGGGGTCAAGTGTGCCCGTGTCAGCATTTCTGAAATGTGTCGAAAGTCAGACAAGTGGGGGGAAGGTACATGGACAGGTATGTGGTAACAGAAACGTAGAGAGATGCCAACTGTGGATGCTATGAAGATGCACCACCCTTTCAGCTGCTCCGATGTCTGGAGATGTCCTCACAACACACTGGAATGAACAAAGTGTTTGCCTGGGTCACTGGCAGACACAGGACTTGTAGACTCTGCGTGGAGCTGCCGTTACTGAGGCCCTACCCCCCAGCACGGGGAGATGAATGGCCTGGGCACTCGTGACAACGCACAGCGTGTGAGCCTCTCTCCTGAAGTACAAGGACACGTGACGACCTGCCAGCCTCCTGGGGCTCAGGGAGACGCTGGGGGGTATTTCCCGTGCCCACCGTTCAGACTGACCGGCGCCATTTCTGAGCCACCTAACGGGAGGATCCCGACAACAGAGGGGAGCAGGATGAGGACTCTTCAGCCACGTGGGCCACCAGCGGGAACATCGTCCACCGGCCACCACGCGGGCTGACGCCAGGCCGTCTCGGGGCTCGTGACGACGGTGTGGGATGCGGGCTGGTGAGGTTTCCTCTCCAGAGGGTCTCGGAAGGAGCACTGTGCGGTCTACAGACGCTTCCCTCCCAGTAAACACAGGCACACCGACTGACACCTGCAAGTCGGCCAACGACAGGTGCGGGTCCCAAGGTTGGGACATGTGTTCCGGACCCTGACTAAACGTCTGCACAATCCCTGGCCAGTGCGAGGGGAGGGGGGACACTTCTGAGGAAGGGTTCCCTACGGGGGGCCCCGTGAGGCTTTCTCACACAGGGACTTGTGAGAAACTGTGGACCTGGAGGAGCCTGGGGGGCGCCGGGTGTGCACCCCACTAGGTTTTCAATAAACACGGAGTAGAGAACGGAGTCAAGACAACCACCCCAACACTTAGAGTGAAGGTGCCTGAACACTAAGGTCCCGCGAGCAGCCAGGCAGGTCTGGTCTGAGCCCCATCACCGCTCACAGCTCTGGCCGGGCCTCCTCACCACCACTTGGGACGGGCAGGACACAGGGTGACACCGTTCTGGCACAAAGGAGCCTCTTTTATTGTCCCTTCTCTGCAACACTCGGGCTGCCCAGTGTCGTCCACCTAGATGCCGGGAAAAGCCCTTCCTTCCGGGGTATGTGCACCTGCCACCCACAGGTGGTGGTACCCCCTCCCTTCCCACTGGGGACGACTCCAGGCCTAAGGGCGTATTTCTCCGGGGCCATGTACACGCTGCGTCCCCTCTGCCAGCAGCTGAAGGCGTGCCAAGTCCGCACGGGCTCCGCGGAGGCGGCGGGCACAGCCAGGGCAGACGCCTGCTCGCGCCCGGCCCACCGCGCTCGGCCTCCCTCCTGAGAACAGGCAGGGCTGCTGCCTTCTGGTGGCAGCACCACCTCGCTCTCGAGAGGGCGGCCGTGCCCTGCTGAGCCTGACCAGTTCCCGCTCACAAAGCCGCGTCATGCAAAGCAGGGGCCCCCGTCCCGCGGCCGGCTGGGCGTCTCGCAAGGAGAGTGTGCTCAGTCCCGGCCCAGGGATGACGGGCTCACAGGCCAGGAGGAGCGAGGGACAGCTCAAGGCGGCAAGAGGGGTGAACGCAGTGCCAGGCCCCAGGGGGCCCTGCCTGGGCGAGGACCTCACACCGGGGAAGAGCTGCGCTCCAGCCTCGGCCCGCGGCCCTGGCGAGTCTTGCCCACTGGACGGCGGCCAGCTCGGGCGCTACAGCGGAGCGGGGCTGACAGGGACCTGGAACGTCTGGACGCCCACAGTACCTGCCCTGCTCATGGCTGGCCTGGCCCCCTTCAGCGCGCACAACCGTTTCCCTCCGAAAGGGACGTATTGCTGGGACGACGGCAGGCTTTCGGTCTTGAGAAGCTGCCTCCTGTGCTTGTCACGGAGGATCGAGTGCACGGCCTTCAGGAAGTCCTTCCGGCTCTTGGGGGAGCTGTGGGAAGAAGGTACAGGTGTCAGGGAGACCGTGACCGGGGCCGCGGCCAAACCCAGAGGACCAGAGGCTGAGGACGAGGCCCGACTCCAACGTGAGCTGCTCGCCTGGCGGGAAGGGGTCCGCCTGCTTCCCCCGTGCGCTGTGACAAAGCAGCCAAGTCGTCGGCAGAGCGACGGGCAGACGGGCTCGGCGCTGGGAAGCGGCCAAATCCCGCTCTGGGGGCCTAAGCCAGAGCTGCCGCTTCTGACGTCTTAACGGACAAACGAACCCCGAGACCCGCAGGGCACCCGAGACCACATCCCAACCCTGCTTCCTCCAGGCCGGGTTCTGCCGCCACGACCCCTCCCACAGCTCCCAGCACGGACGCGGCGAAGCTGCAGGCGAGGGACCGACAGGCCCGTCCTCGTCCCCACCGCGAACAGCGCTGCCGGGTGCGTCCCGCTTCCCGTCGCGGGCTCCGCTCTCACCCAGGTGAGTTCCACCTGCTCTTCTCACTGACAAAGAGCAGGCCTCTCTAGGGGGCCGCTGACCGGACCCCAGGGTCCTTACCAACAGCACCTCGAGTGGACGAGCCGGAGTCCACGGTACAGACGCTGCTCACACCACACACGGGCCACCTGGGGGCTTCAGTTCCCGTCCCCACAGGTCCTGACTCTGCACTTGTCAACCCTTGGCCCCCAACACACAGCGACGATGGAGAGACACAGAATGTGGGCTGAGTCCGAGCCCACCCGAGTCTGAACCGGGGCGCACCTGCCCTGGGGTCTCGGTCCCGTCGGTGAACCGGGAACACAGTCTGGCTGAAACGGTGCCGCCCGGAGCCGAGCACGGCTCAGGTCGGGACGTGCCCCTGCCGCCTCTACTGGCAACGACGCCACGACACTGACGGCTGTTTCCGTGGGCACCCCCGGAGCACACTCGCCCACGGCGGGGGCCGGGGTAAGCACTGCACAAACCACCAGCTACCTGACCACTAAAGCCTGAGTCCAGGCCACAGTCCAGGCCACGTACATCACAGTGCGGCTGCTGGGACCATCATCTGGACATTTGTAGGCAGAAAGCGAGAGAGAGAATTGGCTGCATTTGAGAAAAGGCCTCAGATTCCCCTGGAAGAGGAGAGAGGGCTGGGGGGGAGGGGAGAAATCAGTACAAGCCACACGCAAACTCAGACTGGGCTCGAGGTCTGCAGGGGACCTGGGGGACGCCAGCGGCTTGTGCTGCCGTGTGTCTGCGCGACGCGTAATCCTGGTGACGCCTGCACACTGTCCCCCCTCCCCACTGGCTGCAGCTCAGAGCTGCCCCGGGAGAAACAATGTATCCACTCACCCAGACACAGAGCAACAACCTCATCTCTCCGGCCTACCACACGCACATGTGGACAGAGACCCTCCTGTGAGCACTGAATACATTTGAAAATTCCTCTTTTCTTCAGAAAGATACTCAATTCACTAAGTTACTGTCTGTATTCTAAATAAAACTAGTTCAATTTACCCAATTACTGTTAGTTAACGTGTTCAACGATTCCTCGGATGTATGAGAAAGAGCACAGAGATCCTAGAGATGCCAGGCTGGTCTGAGAACCCCGAGGGCTGGGAGCCAGGTGCGCCCCGCCCTGCCCTGCGCGGCCCCAGGCTCACCTGCAGCACAGGTGGAACACCACCCTCTCCGGCCTCCCCAGCCCCACCTGCAGCACAGGTGGAACACCACCCTCTCTGGCCTCCCCAGCCCCACCTGCAGCACAGGTGGAACACCACCCTCTCTGGCCTCCCCAGCCCCACCTGCAGCACAGGTGGAACACCACCCTCTCCGGCCTCCCCAGCCCCACCTGCAGCACAGGTGGAACACCACCCTCTCCGGCCTCCCCAACCCCACCTGCAGCACAGGTGGAACACCACCCTCTCCGGCCTCCCCAGGCCCACCTGCAGCACAGGTGGAACACCACCCTCTCCGGCCTCCCCAGCCCCACCTGCAGCACAGGTGGAACACCACCCTCTCCGGCCTCCCCAGCCCCACCTGCAGCACAGGTGGAACACCACCCTCTCCGGCCTCCCCAGGCCCATCTGCAGCACAGGTGGAACACCACCCTCTCCGGCCTCCCCAGGCTCACCTGCAGCACAGGTGGAACACCCTCTCCACCTCCCCAGCCCCACCTGCAGCACAGGTGGAACACCACCCTCTCCGGCCTCCCCAGCCCCACCTGCAGCACAGGTGGAACACCACCCTCTCCGGCCTCCCCAGCCCCACCTGCAGCACAGGTGGAACACCACCCTCTCCGGCCTCCCCAGCCCCACCTGCAGCACAGGTGGAACACCACCCTCTCCGGCCTCCCCAGCCCCACCTGCAGCACAGGTGGAACACCACCCTCTCCGGCCTCCCCAGGCTCACCTGCAGCACAGGTGGAACACCACCCTCTCCGGCCTCCCCAGGCTCACCTGCAGCACAGGTGGAACACCACCCTCTCCGGCCTCCCCAGCCCCACCTGCAGCACAGGTGGAACACCACCCTCTCCGGCCTCCCCAGGCCCACCTGCAGCACAGGTGGAACACCACCCTCTCCGGCCTCCCCAGCCCCACCTGCAGCACAGGTGGAACACCACCCTCTCTGGCCTCCCCAGGCTCACCTGCAGCACAGGTGGAACACCCTCTCCACCTCCCCAGCCCCACCTGCAGCACAGGTGGAACACCACCCTCTCCGGCCTCCCCAGGCCCACCTGCAGCACAGGTGGAACACCACCCTCTCCGGCCTCCCCAGGCTCACCTGCAGCACAGGTGGAACACCACCCTCTCCGGCCTCCCCAGCCCCACCTGCAGCACAGGTGGAACACCACCCTCTCCGGCCTCCCCAGCCCCACCTGCAGCACAGGTGGAACACCACCCTCTCCGGCCTCCCCAGCCCCACCTGCAGCACAGGTGGAACACCACCCTCTCTGGCCTCCCCAGGCTCACCTGCAGCACAGGTGGAACACCACCCTCTCTGGCCTCCCCAGGCTCACCTGCAGCACAGGTGGAACACCACCCTCTCCGGCCTCCCCAGGCCCACCTGCAGCACAGGTGGAACACCACCCTCTCCGGCCTCCCCAGGCCCACCTGCAGCACAGGTGGAATACCACCCTCTCTGGCCTCCCCAGGCTCACCTGCAGCACAGGTGGAACACCCTCTCCGGCCTCCCTTCCGACTCTGACTTCACGTGGACAATCTCACACACGGCGTTGGCTTCTGCATCTGGATAAACAAACAGCAAGAACACGTTATGCTTCCGAGGGGCTGGCCGCATGTTACAGAGCCTCTTCCGGCTTCGGCGTGTGATGCATGGAGCAGGGTCACCAGGAGAGAGGAACTTCCCGAGGACCCCGTGACCCAGAGACGATGAGCCCGGAGCTCAGCGAGGCTGAGAGAGAGAGACGCCTGGAGAATTTCCAGCTACGACTGTTCCTTCTGACGGTCTGAAAGGACGATCGGTCCATCTCACCGAGAGCTGACCTGTGAGCTGCACGGCATGTCTGGCTGAACCCTTTCTGAAGTGACTGGTGGTTCAGGCACCAGCGGGACTAGACAGAGCCCAGGATCCAGTGAAGGCTCACCAGGCCCCCTGCGGGGGCTCCCGAGAGGGCAGGCCTGGTGCCCGGGCAGCAGCGGGTCCGGGCAACCTGCCTGAGGCGAGACCAGCTGCCGAGAGCGTGGGGAACAGTCTACTTGAAGGTCGTTTCGAGGCCTCGAAACGCCACGTTACTTTATTATTCTATGAGCCTGCAACACCGTGTCACCTGAAGTCACGGATAACGTGTCTGCGGGAGGAACAACTCACGACAAACAGCGAGACTGCACCTGCGAGGTCTCATCCTTGTCCTGTAGTTCAGAGCCTGGGCACGAACCCTCCTGGGGCGCAGTCTTAACCCCAACCCAGACGCGGTCGCGGGAAGCTTCACACCCTCTCCCAAACTAAGACGAAAATGCAGATGCCCCACGCTCGGCTTCTCAGATCCATGCAACGTATTTCACGGTGAGGGGCGGGGCTTCACAACTCCATTTAAAACAAGCTGTCGCCCGGCCGGTGTGGCTCCGTGGACGGAGCGTCGGCCCCTGGACTGAGGGGTCCCGGTTGGATTCCCGGTCAGGGCACACGCCCGGGTTGTGGGCTCGATGCCCAGTAGGGGGCGTGCGGGAGGCAGCCCATCGATGTCTCTCACATGGGCGTTCCTATCTCTCTCTCCGTTCCTCTCTCTAAAAACAACAAAAATTTAAAAACAGAAACAGGGAGAGGGCAAGCGCCACCAGTCAGACTCGGGGACACAGACCTGCAGACGCCCCACGCTCTTCCCAGCCAGACCCCCGAGAGCGTGCCCCTGACCAGCTGCTTCCGGGGGGCGCCCAGGAGAGCCCCTGCCTCAGACCAACGCCTGCGGTCCACCTCCCGGTGCTGCAAGTGTCGTCTGGGTTCGAGCACATTCACTGTCCCCAACGACTCGCTTCACTGGACTTGGAGCGAAGAAAACGAACGAGGGTCTAAGCCTTCACACTAGAGACGGATTTCCACGTCGGGACAGAACTACCCTCGGCGTTCCTGCGCTCTGCGGACTTCTGGGGTCTCTCAGTTAAAAGGCACGTGAGCGCCCTGGCCGGTTTGGCTCAGCGGTTAGAGCGTCGGCCTGCGGTCCTGGGAGACCGGGTTCGGTTCCCGCTAAGGCACGTACCTCGGTTGCAGTTTGTCCCCGGCCCTGGTTGGTCGTGCGGGTGGCAGCCACTCGATGTGTCCCTTTCACATCGATGTTTCTCTCTCTCTCTCTCTCCCACTCTACCTGAACAAAAAATGGAAAAATGTCCTCGGGTGAGAATAAAAAAATAAATAAATAAAAAATAAATAAAAGGCACGTGAGCGAGGTACATGGGCTCAAGGGTTCTTTCCGGAGGCGCAGAGCTGCGCAGGTGTTCGTCCCTGTGACGTTACTGTAAACGACGGCGACTGGAATCCCGTGGAACCACAGCCGCTCCTCCTCCCTCCGGGCCGTTCCTTCACCCGGTCAGTAACCGGCGGGTGAACCGGGCGGCGGAGAGACGGGGAAAGAGCTGGTCCCACGCGGCAGAGACGGCGGGAGGGGGCTGGGCGGCAGCGTAGGCGCAGGCGCGCGGGAAGCAGCGGCGCGGACTTTACCTGCAGTGGCCACGGCGCGGACCTGCAGGGCTTCCGTGGGGATCATGTGCCGAAACCGGAAGGGGTCCCACTCCTCGTAGATGGAGAGCCTGTGAGAGCCGACCTGCAGGACAGAAGGAGCCAGGGGGTGAGAACAACCTCTCCAGCCTGGACTCGACCCCGCACGCAACCCACGAGCTTGTCTGTTCTCAGCAGAAAGCAAGAGGCCATGTGATACGTGTGCCGAGAGGGGCAAAAAAGTCTGCTACCCACATCCAGGTGAGAGAGACACGGGAAGGAGGGGAGAGGGGCCCACAACGGGAACAGAGGGGTGGGCATGGCAGGGAACGGGAAAACAGCGTGAGGAGGGCCCCGGCCACGGCACGCCACTGCCGCGCCTCAGCGGGGGCCCCCGGAAGGGGGCAGGGCAGGCGATGTCCCGAGTCCTCCCCAACATACAACAAAAGGAGGAAAAGTGAACAAGCCCCAAGCTGGCGGCTGGCAAAGGGGCCGGGTTACGTGGACAGAGGCGTGACCCAGAAGCAGAAGCAGGAAAAGCCCTCAGACGGGGGGACGATTTCTTACAAGTTTCTTCTTCTGTTTGGAGCCGTCTTTATACACAAGGACCACAGCGGTCTTGAAGACTGGAAAACAATGGCATAAGGGCGGTGATGGTGCAGTGCAGGGGTTCACCCCGTAACTCACGGTGACAGACACACCAGCGGGCAGATCCCAGCGCCCCCCACCTTCCAGTCACCCCTCACGTCTGCGGAACCCAGAAGCCTATTGAGACAAAATCTCCCAGAGTCGAAACAGACACAGAAAACCCAGATACATGGGAATATCCCATCCTGCCCGACTGGAAACTTCTGGGTAAAACACACTATTTTAACTTGGGCACCGTTTTAAAACTCCAGCGGATAACGTACTTAACCGAAACGGACCCGTTCGGCAGCTGAAGAATGCGAACATCTCTGATGAGAAGAGGATTGTTAAGGGGCTGATTGATGTCTGTGCACGGTGGGCTGTCACACAGACTGTCACTGTCAGAAACGTGATTTCTCTTCAGTGAGTCCGTCTCTGGAGCAGAAGGCAAGTCCTTCGCCCAGACAGGAGCCAACACCGGAAGCCTGTAAGGCAGGCGGCCCGGGTTGTCCGCCCTTTGAGGGGCGAGCGGGTACAATGCAGCTGGGCATCATCTCCCACCAATGTCCTCAGACAAGGCCAAGCGCGTCCAGCTCTCCTTCCGACTCCACCTGTCTCTCTTCACCCTCTGACCCGAGGCGCCGCAGGGACCCAGCCCCGGGCGCCTGGTGCAGACACACAAAACGACACGAGGGTCCAGCAGAGGCTCGGGCCGGGGCCCCAGGCCCTCCGGAGAGCAGCCCTGCATCCGGTTCATGTCCTCTCCCACGTGGGCCGCTCGGTCTTCCACCCTAATCCCCACCACAGGAAAACAAGCCTCAAACCCCAAAGAAACCGTCCCAGCCACTGGGTCCGGGGGCCGCTCGCCCCTCATGCCTCACAACGTCCGATGTTTCAAGGGTCCCGGAGGACAGATGGCCACTTCCCTCCCAGAGGTTCCCACCGACCACGGCAGCCACATCAGCTCTGCGTGGACGCTGGGCGCTGTCCCCCGAGGACCCCTGACCTTCCCACCAAGAAGCTTCGGAATTCACAGCACCCACGTTCCACCCGGGAGAGGGCGCCCAGGGACCTCGGTCTCACAAGACCCTCTGCTTACTGGAACTGCAACTCATAGCATGGTTGCCACGGCCCTGCCTCGGTTTACCTCCACCTCGTTGGATCACAGGGCTGGACCAGAGTGACCCTCTTCCTGGGCTGCAAACACCCCTCCCCTGAACCCCCCTGATCCTCGGGGCTGTTCTGACTCCACGGGCTTCGCCGCTGCCCAGTCCTTTCAACGTGGCCTTGAGCCCCAGACTCACGCCCTTGCCGTCAGAAGCGCCCTCTCCACCCCACAAGGTAAGCATCCAATGCCCTTCAAGGCAGGAGCCTAAACAGACCACTTTCCTGGCCCAGGGGGTGGCCGTCCTGAGGCGGATGCCAGGTGCCGGGGGCAGGAAGCTCAGGTTTGTTTCAGAAGGAAGCTGCACCATTTCCTGAGACCGGAGGCTCAAACCCAAACCAAAGACACCTGCTCGGCTCGCAGCAACACCGCTGGTTTCAGAGCACGTCTAGGCTCCGCCGGCCCTGCCCGGCTTCGGAGAAGCTGCTGACGTCACACCCTCAGGGTCTGGGATCCGCACACCAGCTCCCGGGGGACCAGCGTCTCGGACTCGGAGCCTGACTCCAGCCCTGCTCTGCGCTGTCTCTCGGGAGGGGGCTCTGACGACGGTCAGCCTGCCTGCTCCTGTCACAGGCCCTTGCTGACCACGGCTGTGGAGTTTGGCACAGACGACCCCAGGGCAGCATCGGGACATGCAGCTTCCTTCCCGGCCACAGCAGGTGGTGTGGGCTGGCTTCCCAGAAGCCACCGACCCCACCCAACTCGTCCACAACCCACAGGGCGGCGGACGGTGACGCGTGGCCCACCTGAGCCTGTGCGGCCCGGGGCCTGAAGCCGGCACCCTCCCGAGCCCTCAGTGCCAGGGCTGGCAGGCAGGGCCCGCTGCTTCCCAGAACCTCCGACACGGGTGCCGCTCGCTCACGCGGCGTCCACTGCGCTTGGCTCCGCTGGCCTTGGCCTGCAGGGCCTACCGTGCTCAGTACACGGCTCTCTGCACAGTCTGCCAACCCCACCTCCTCGACCGACTGCCTCCTTCCGGGTCCGCTGCTTCCTGCCTGCGAGGAACCCGGCGCGGAGAGTCGTGCGCCCTACGCTGGGCCCAGCGTCGAGGCAGGCGGTTGGGGTCACTTCCTCCGGAACAGCCCGTAAATGACCAACCGAGAAGCCTTGGGAGCCCTGAGCTCCCCCAAGAACATGCATCATGGGAAACACAACTGGGATGTTGAAAACACATCCTGCCCGGCCGGTGTGGCTCAGTGGCTGAGCGTCGACCCTGCACCCAGAGGTCGCCGGTTCGATCCCCGCTCAGGGCACATGCCGGGGTTGTGGGCCCATCCCCAGTGGGGGGCACGCAGGAGGTGGCCAGTTGATGTTCTCTCTCATTCGTGTTTCTATCTCTCTACCTCTCTCTCTAAAATCAATAAAGAAAAATTAACAAAAAAAAAGAGAACACATCCTACCCACCGCCCCGCCCCCTGCTGAGCCCCCACCCCTACCAAGAACCGCCCACACGTGAGACCCCGCCCTCCCTGGGGCACCCCAGCCCTTGGCCCCTCTCCCAGGGCATCAGGCTCCTGGAGTTCTGGGAGGTGCGGCCACAGGGGCTGTTTCAGTGTCAAGCACGTCACGAAGCGTCTCAATGTCAGTGGAGAGATCCAGGTGGGAAGCCCAACAGTTGTTTCTCATTATTATTAAATAGGTTTTTAGTGATTTTTAGAGAGAGAGGAAGGGAAAGGAGAGGGGTAGAGAGAGAGAGAGAGAAACATGGACCAGCTGCCTCCTGCACACCCCCTACTGGGGATCGAACCTGCAACCTGGGCGTGTGCCCTGACCAGTCATCGAACCTGGGCCTCTTGGTGCAGGGACAACACTCGACCACTGGGCACACCAGCTGGGCCCCAGTAAACCTCTGTCTAGACTCGGATGCAGCACCACTGGGCTCCGTCTGGGGGTGCTCTGCTCACACCGTGGAGGAGGAAACAGGTCGGTGGAAGCAGCAGCAGCAGGGACACGCCCCCCCACCCCGCCCCAGGAAAGCAAGGCGACAGGACGACAGGACCAGGAGGGAACCCAGGCCTGTCCATCCTGTTCCGCCCCAGAGCTGCTGGGAGGGGGAGGGGACGAGACGGAGGGAAGCGTGAGCTGTGATGTGCGGAGCTCGGGACGCCACGCAGACCCGACGCCTGCGTCCCAGCAGGCAGCCTCCTGGAGGCCCCACAGCCCGGCGCTGACCCGGCACTGTCTCTCAGGAAGGTTACCACGCCCTGGCCGGTGTTGCTCAGCGGTTAGAGCGCTGGCCCGCGGACCAGAGAGGCCTGGGTTCGGTTCCCACTAAGGGCATGTACCTCGGTTGCAGTGTGTCCCCGGCCCCGGTTGGGGTCATGTGGGCGGCAGCCACTCGATGTGTCTCTCTCATGCTGATGTTTCTCTCCCTCTCTCTCTCCCCCTCTCTCCCTCCTGCTCTATCTGAAGATAAATGCAAAAATGTCTTCAGGTGAGGATAAATAAAAAGTAAAAAAAGCTTATCACACCCCAGCTCAGCCCTGTATCACTGAACCACACGGCCACTGTCCCCTGTCCCTGTGGAGCACGGGGGCAGCTCCTGTCTCTGTCTGTTCCACCCGGACGCTCACACCTGGGCAGACGTGGGCACGGCCACCCTCCCCCACACAGCAGGACGGCCCACTGGACATCCTCGACTGGAACTGACCGTCGGTGAGCTATTCCGAGGACTGTAATTAACTGTATTCCAGTGAACCATGTCTTGGAAAAGAAGTGATCTTATTCTGGAAACAAGCCGCCCCCCTCTCCTGGCACCTACCGAAGGCGGCCAGCTCCGGCTCCTTCTTCCACTTCCCCAGCGAGGCGGGCGGGTTCGGCCAGATCACGGTCGTGTGCAGCAGCAGGTCCCCCATGCTCAGGTCCACCACCTGGGGGCCGGGGAAGGTCAGAGTCACCGGGCGGGTCGCGGACACCGCCATGCTCACATTCAGAGTGCTGGCGGGCTGACGGCCACTACGTCATGAAAATACTGTCTCCAAACCCGCCTGGCCATCACTCCCCTTCACTTCATTCTACCGGAATTCAACACTCGAGCGGGACACGAGGGACGAACTGGGGCCCTGAAACCCACGCGCGGCCATCTGTCACGGGCCCCCTGCACGTGGATGGCGGCCTGTGTTCAAACAGGGGTGCTTCCCGAGGACACGACAGACCTGAACCCCCACGGAGCCCTGGTCTTCAGGGAAACAGTGGGGTCAATTATTGCTTCTTCCAGCTCATTCTGAAGATTTTACTTCGCTTGCAGGAGGGAGAGAAGCCAGCGAGCAGTGTGGCGGTGACCTCTGCTCCGGGGGCTCCGGGATGTCAGGAGCCGGGGGTCTGACCACAGGCCCCCGAAGATCAGATGCAAAACCGGCTGCCGCCCAGGCACAATGGTCCAGTGTTCCAGCCTCACACAGGTCCCGTCTGCCTTTCTCAGCGGGGTCCTTGGCCCATTTCCCCTCCCCGCCCGAGAAAATCCCGATCTCCCTCACGCCACGGCGCAGTCACAGGCGGGGAGAGCACCTGGCCTTGACTCGACCTCCGTATGGACACCTTTGGGGACGAGACTCTGCAGCCGAGCGCGCACGGTCCGTCCGTCCCGCACAACCCCCGCCCCAGACCAGCCCTCGTCCTCGGGCAGCATCTCGAGGGTCTGCACACGCAGCGTCGGAGGGCGAGGGCTCTGGTTGATTCTGCTGCGTAGGATCCCACCGGGGTGGTGGCGACGGCAGCCACCCGCAGCCCTTCCCCGCACGGAGCCACCAACCAGGCCACAGTGCTGAGCCGTGGCTTTGCTGCCACTATAATGACCAGGTTCACGATAACAACAATTAACTCTAATTATCACTGAGCTGCATTAGTAATAAACCCAAGGATGAAAACAAATTGCGCAACCATAGTATTTCATTTACACATAAAGTAACTAGCCAACCAGCTCCCCCAAACCCTGGAGTGGGGGAGATCAGCTCGGGGGACCATTACTCCCCGTGACTTCTGCAAACTACACACAAGGTCAGTGCCGCACCCGAGTCAGATCCTGGGCACCGCCTTAGGGGTATCAGGTCAAGGGCCGAACCCCACTTCCTCCCCTAATGGAATTACATCTGCACTTTCTGCCATGGGTGTTCTAGGGCCCCCCATGAGACGAGGTGAGGCCTAGTGATCTGGGGCGTGGCCACGCGCCTTGCTGTGGACAGAAGGCTCCACGCCCTCCAGCCGTGGCACGGACAGGCCAAGGCGCCTCCGCCGCTCCGCCTGGATCCCGGGAGGCACAGGGGCCCCAAGGCTGACGCTCGCCGACAGAGGCCCGGGCTCAGCCGACCTGCACGCGTGTGCAATGACGCCGGCCGTGGGAGCACGGAGACGGAGCTGTCTGCGCGCAGTACAGGGGGGATCCAGGCCGAGAGCTTGCGGGTGCCCTTTGAGAAGTTCCCGCAGAGATGTCACAAGGGTCCGAGCGGCCCCCGGCACGCAGCCTCTCCGCTGTCCCCTTGGAAACCTGCACCCAAACCCCACGACAGTCCCACTGAGGCCTGCGCCCCCCAGCCCGGGAGGCCCCACGGGGCCGGGGCTGGCCTCCTTCCACGGGGAGATGCCCTCTGTGGCCTCCTTCCTCCACCCTCAGTGAAGGAACGTGCTCGTGGTCCAGTCCCGACGCCCGGACGCGTACCCGCTGGGAGGCCGGAGGCCTGGCTTCATCGCAACGTGTTTCTTTGCAGGTTCGCCCTCGGTGGACACAGCAGGTGCCCTGGGCCCCGGACGTCACTATTTCACTGCAGACTGGTCATTCCCAGCCGCACAAAGTGCCCCGACCCTGCCTGTTCACACCCCCGGGTTTCACTGCCCATCGATCGGGAGCTGCAGTGATCAGACGTCACCGCCGTGAACACCAGGCCTTGACCTGGGCACTCCGGCCGCCTGCCTGCTTCCGGGCTGCCCAGGCCGTGTGTGGGCACCCACCCTCTCTCCCTCGGGGGTTACGTCTGTGGAATCCAGCCCATTCCACGCTCTCTCCCCAAGGAGGCCAGCAGAGAGAGAGAGGCTTCGAGGAGCGGGTTTTCCTTGAGAAACTCCTTGTCTGTACGCACCCCTCCGGCCCCGGGGGGTTCCTTCTTTCCTCTCTTCCAGGGCTGAGACACCCCTCCTGTCGTGCTCTGGCGCCTTTTCCCAGGCTCTGAACCCCCTGATGCTGATGGAGGACGGCCCCACTCGACAATGGCTGCAGCCCAAGGTCACACCTCTCTTCACAAAACCTCGGCTCAAGAGAGACCCCGCACGACACTGTCTGCTCCTCACGGGGGAGGTGTCTTCCTTGCCGGTCAGGATGTCATTCAGGGGACAGGGGGTTTCCCCAAAGCCCCATCTGCTCCTGCGGTCTTCCCTCCTGAACCGCGGTCACCTTTTTTCCTAAACTGGTTGCAGCCCACTGTCCACAACACCGGGAGCAGTAAGACCCACGCACGGACCTGGCACGCAGTGCAACATGTAACGAGGGAGAACGAAAACCCTCATCTCCGTGACCCAATAAAACCCACTTCTGTCGAAATGAAATGACCTAACGTACGGAGGAGGAAAGAGTAGTGTGATCACAAGTGTTTGCAGGGTTACTCACCGTTACTTAGTGAACGAGACAGGAAAATCACCCGTGGCAGGAAGGCAGCAAACCACCGGCCAGCCTCACACGGTAATTTAAATAACTCTTGTGAATAACTTAAAATAACATGGGCGCTCTTTGTTCAACCGAAGCACATCAACGTACAGAACTCCTTTCAAAACAGAATCACTAGAGCATATACACGTATGTAGTTCTTAATCCGGATAAACAGCCGGACACAGACTGTCGACTGTCCTTGCCTGTGTTTCGCCCTGTTCTTTAACAAGCATGTTTTTCTCCTTATCAAAGTTTTACACAACAGTGGGCCCCGGAGCGGGAGGCTCATCTTCTCTGCATCTGGAGGGTGAGATGACGCAGCCGGCGGGCGTTCCCACGCTCTTCCGCTAGCACCACGTGGAAACACCAGACCGTGTTTTGAGTGGAGGACAGGCATCCACCCAGCACACCCTGGGGGTGCCAGACAGCCACCTGCTCAGCGCCTCTACTTCCTCTGCAACCCTGGGGACAGGTACAGGGGACAGGTGAGCAGTCCCTCCCGGCCAGTCGCGTGGTGACGTCACGGACCTGTCCGCACGTACAAATGACCTCACTCCACACGCCGCCAGCTACGGCGACTTCCCCAATGAAGGGCCACACACCTGCCCGGTTCCCACAGTCCCGGGGGTAAAACACATTCCTTCATTGGTGTTCGCTTGTCTGTGTATATCAAATGCTGTGATTTTAACCTCTTTCTGGAAATTATCTTTCAAACGTCCAAAACCTTGTTTACGTCCAAAACCTTGTTTCACTGAGGACAAAATGAACGTGGACCCCAGCCCTTCACACCAAACACCAGCTCTGCCTACCGGCACTCACCCCTTCTAATCACAGCGGAGGGCTCTCCTGCCCTCCCCTCCCCCCCAGCTCCCGCCCAGCTGAATGGGGCGCAGGGGGCGCTGCGGGGTATCAGCGCATCACCCCCAGCCTCGCCGCTGTGCCAGCACCTTCACCCGCACCAGCTCCTCGGGATTGAGGGACAACCCGGTCCCTCCCGGTCTCCCAGGTGCACCTGTTCCTGCCAGCTGCTTCCTGGCAGTTCTCAGGTGGACTTTAAAAGTGACTTGGGCCACCATTCAACACAGGTGACGGAGCACCTCCTGGGAGCCAGTTGGGTTCTAACTCACACCCCTCAGGTCCCGAGGCCGAGCGTGGGAGTCAACACGGGCCTTCCCGAAGAGCCCGTGGGGAAGAAACACCCCGCAGCCTGGGCCAAGGACAACAGTGCTGCCGACACCACCACTTTCTCGGTGACTATTCTGACAATAACCCCCAGAGCCCAGTCAGACCGACCCTTCCCTACCGACCCGTGTCCCGGAAATGGGTCCTTACCTCTTTCTTCTCGCCGGTCTGCTCAGCAATCAGCTGGTCGAACACGGCCCCAAATTCCTCGTGGATCTTCTGCATCTCGTTGATGTGACTGGCCACCTTGTTCATGGTCTTGATGGCCACTGGAAGACACGTGTGAGTGAGGGGCCGGTAGAGAGCTGGGGACTCTGGGCAGGGCTGGCGCTGGGCTCACAGGGTGGGGCCATGGGGGCGGGGTTTGTGGACAGGCTCAGGCATGGGGACACCATGGGTGGGGATGCGGAGGCTGTGGGCGGGGCGCAGGCGGGCTCACAGTGGAGTGGTGGGCGGGGCACAGGTGAGCCCATGGTGGGGTTGTGGGCAGGGTGCGGGTAAGCTCACCCAGGAGCCGGCACTTGTGGGTGGGGTGGGGGCGGGGCCTGGGTGGGCCCTGCGGGTGGGGCGGGGCCTGGACGGGCTCTGTGGGCGGGCTTTGTGGGCGGGCTTTGTGGGCGGGGCGGGCCCAGGCGGCTCGGGGGCGGGCTCTGTGGGCTGGGCGAGCTCAGGTGGCTCTGTGGGTGGGGCGGACCAGGCCCCTCGGGGGCGGGCTCTGTGGGCGGGGCGGGCCCAGGTGGCTGTGGGCGGGGGCGGGCCCAGGTGGCTCGGGGGCGGGCTCTGTGGGCGGGGCCAGGTGGCTCAGGGGCGGGCTCTGTGGGCGGGGCGGGCCCAGGTGGCTGTGGGCGGGGGCGGGCTCTTTGGGCGGGACCAGGTGGCTCAGGGGCGGGCTCTGTGGGCGGGGCGGGCCCAGGCGGCTCAGGGGCGGGCTCTGCGGGTGGGGCGGGCCCAGGCGGCTCGGAGGCGGGCTCTGTGGGCGGGGCGGGCTCTGTGGGTGGGGCGGGCCCAGGCGGCTCGGAGGCGGGCTCTGTGGGCGGGGCGGGCTCTGTGGGTGGGGCGGGCCCAGGCGGCTCAGGGGCGGGCTCTGTGGGCGGGGCGGGCCCAGGCGGCTCGGAGGCGGGCTCTGCGGGCGGGGCGGGCTCTGTGGGCGGGGCGGGGCCTGGTGGCTCTGTGGGCGGGGCGGGCCCAGCGCTCCGGTGCTCACCGTCCAGGTGGTAGTGCTCCTCGCTGTCGGCGTCCGTCAGCGCGAACAGCTCCCGCAGCAGCAGCGGGTACTTGAGCACCCTCTGGATGGGCTTGATGAGGTACGACTCCAGCGTGGCCGAGTGCTGCTGCTTGGGGTTCTGCGCGTCCAGGAAGGCCTTGAAGGCCGCGTCCGTCCTGGCTGCAAGGGGGCACAGCGGTCGGGGGGCGCCCAGGGGACCCTCACACGTCCCTGTCCCGCTCGCTCCACGGGGCCCTCGGCAGGGCTGGGCGGAGGCTCCCGGAGGAAGGGGCTCAGACGCCACAAGGGGCCCCTCAGTTCGTGTGTTGTGGGGAATACCAGGGTTTGAGTCCGTTGAGGGACCCACAGGGCCTGTGAATCCTATGCACCTGGATTTGGGGGGCTGCTCTTCACCCTCCTGGTGTTGAGAGTGTCTTTTTATTCTGGTATTTTGACACCTGGGGTCTACAGACCCTGGGGAGACAGCCCCTCCTGGGGCTGAACAGTCCTGCAGACAGCACAGCACTCACCTGGGCCACACCTTCCTCATCGGACAACCAATCCGACCCCACCCCTCACCCAGGACAGCTGTCACCCCGTCCAGTCCCTTCACCCAGGGCCAGGCAGCGGACAGCCAAGCGGCCTGCACCCAGAGACCCCGCGGTCGCTCCCACCGCAAAGGCCCCTGCCAGGTCCCTTCAGTCCCATCTCCTGACCAACCCTGGTCTCCCCCTCCCCCCCCCTTTTCCCTACAGGGCCAGGCTCGGCCCTGCTCCAGGGAACTGGACTGTCCCTTTGATGGCGATCATCGCCTCCTGCTGGCCTCGCAGCGTCTAGCAAACCACCCGCATCTGCACACCCTCCTTGTCCGTCCCTCCAGCTGTGAGAGCCCCTTCGAGAAAAGGCAGGAAAGCAGGAAGCGGCCACACCCGGGCTCCGGACCGACCCGACCCGAGGGGTCCCCCGCAGTGAATGCCTCCAGCACCTGATCTCCGTTGACCCAGCGCCAGGCCACCCGCCTGCGCCCACACCGACCTCCTGATCCCGGGCACCGCCCCCTGGTGGCTGCCCCGTGTCCCTGCAGGTGGGTGGAGGCACCTGGGGAGCGGTGGTCCCCAGACAGGCAGAGAGAGAGTCAGGAGGACCGGCTGATGCCTCCAGGTGCAGAGGGGGGGGCGGAGAACCCGGCGAGGGCAGAGATGCGGGCGGAGCACGCAGAACGCATCCAGGTGACGTAACAGTGGACACCGTTTCCTTAAGCTCTGACGGAGGGGACGGGGGTGCTTCCCTCTCCAGGGTCAGGAGAGAGCCAAGAGGAGGAGGTGTGCTCAGAGGGCGGAGGGAAATTGTAAGAAGATGATTCTTCTCGTCATCTCCAGCCAGTTAAGAAAACCAGGATCACAGAGAAAACCCTCAGGAAGGCCCGAGTCTTCCGCCCTTTCGGCCCCACGAGGAGGAATCACGCTCCCTCCAGGGGTTCGCCCACCACCCCTCACAAATAGATCCCCGAAGAGAAAGGGGCCTGGGAGGGAGTGACCGGGACCCGTGCCGGGAAAGGAGGGCCAGACCCAGAGCCAACTCGGGAGGAACACGCGTCCGTGGGACACCCCAGCCTCGGTCCACCCTGAGTGCTCAAGTCCAAAACTACGGCCATGGGCACTTCACCCATCGACCACCGTCTCATGCCAGGGCAAGGCGGGCAGGGTCCTCGGCCCCCTGAGCTGCTGGACGGCCACTCCCTCACCCCAGCCAGTCAGCGAAAAACCGCAGGCAGGGACTTTGATCCCACACACTTCCCTTCACCCTCACCCTCGGCCGTTCGAAAAATGTAGGTCAAACCTACATGTAGGTCCCATAACGGCTTAAGGGACCGTTTGAAAGATACAGTGGTATTTTTCAGGTGCAGCAGAATATTACTGAATTAAGAAAAATCTACAGGGGCAGGATTTAATCGCATTGGACTTTTAAAAATAACACTCACTACTCTAAGGGCTGAACTGGGTACAAAGACGTTTGCTGTGGAGCCGAGGGCTGTACAATGGCCGCAGCCGCACAATCAGAGCTCGGTGCACGTGTGCAGAGACACGCGGAGAACCGAGCGGCCAGCGCGGCACACGGGGGACCAGACAGCGAGGCAGGGATTCCCGGGTTCCCTCCACCTTCCTGTGCTGGGCCAGACTCCACGCACAGACTCCGCCCGAGCACACCTGAGGGCAGGCTCGTGCCTGGGCCCGAGACCTGCCCGGTGCTGACATGTCTTACGACAGGTGTTCACCAAAGTCTAGCCTGTTCTCGTCAGCAGCCAAGCACCACGTGCACCAAGTGTTCACCTGTCAGCAGCCAATCCTGTGCAGCCACAGCGCGGTGTTAGGGACAGCACCGGCTTCCAGAGGTCCCTCAAATCAAACCTTCCATTGGTTGTCCTTTTTTTTTTAACCCTCAATGAGGATATTTTTTTCTATATACCTTCAGATAGAGTGAGAGAGAGAGAGAGAAACAGCGATGTGAGAGACACATCGACTGGCTGCCTCCTGCACGGCCCCATCCAGGGCTGGGGACGAACCACACCGAGGTCCATGCCCTTGACCGGAATCGAACCCTCGACTCATTGGTCCGCCGGCCGATGCTCTAACTGCTGAGCCAAACTGGCCAGGGGTATTGGCTGTCCTTTTATCTGTCCCCAATAACAACAGGCTGAAGTGTGGAAGCAAAACCACTCTGTGGAAACTCAGATGCCCCACGTCCTCCAGAACACCGGGGACGGAGCTGGCCGATGCACGTCCCGCTCTGTTCTGTGCAGGACACCTGCAGCCTGAGCGAGTTCCGTGTGTGACGGGAGCCACCTGACCGGGACGGTGGCTGTTCCCACCCGAGGAGCAGCAACAGGTGAGGCAGGGTGGGGTCCGGAGGGGCACGGACTGTGCCAGGTGGCCGCAGATCGCGAAGAGCAGGAACGAAGCCGAGACGTGCTGTCCCAGCCTGTTTCTGCATCACTGCAAAATGACCCGTCCATTCTGGCCCCCAAGTGGCTACGACAAGACTGTCATTGCAAGATAACTGACAAGCTGTTCATCAAACTATGGATGCGTCTCACCTCCCAGTGCCCCACTGGTGCCCCTCTGCGGCTTGTCGAAACACCTGCCTGCCACACTGATGACTCTTCAATTTTGGTCCAGAAACCCCCACCACAGTCGGCCACAAAACTCTGAATGGACGACCGGCACGCCCAGCCGGCACCCCGTGCTCACGGCCTTACCTTTCACCAGGACCTTGGGGACCTTCGTGTGGCTGGCGCAGAAAGCACTGTACAGCTTGAAGCGGTCGGCGTAGTACAGAAAGGAGCCACCCAGGGAGAACAGCACTTTCTGGATTTAAGGAGAGAGGCGTGGTTGGTTCACGGGGCTCTGGGCAGTCGTGCCGGTAAAAGAAGCCCCACGAAAAACAGCACAGGCCACGGGGTCCCACGGAGGTGGAATTCCAGGACCCGCCAAGCTGAGGGCCCAGACACCAGGCGTGGCTGCCTGTGGCTGCCGGGCAGGGGCCGAGCCACAGAAAAGCAGGAAAACGCCGGCCTGCGGCGGGGGTTCCCCAGGTGTGCACGCGCCACAATTCCCCGAACCGCACAGTCATCTGCGCGGTGTGCTGTGCGCCCCTCACACTCCAGCTGATCTGCTCTCTACACGCAGTGAGGGGGACACGTCTGCCGGAACTGCGGTCGGAGGTGAACGCAAGGGACGTCTACGGGGACGGGAAGCCAGCCCGGGGAACAAGCCATGCACCCTCTCCGAGGGGCCGTCCCAGCCCACGGAGGCGCTGGGCAGGCTTCCTCGGGGACGGCGCGCGTTCCACTCAGCAGAGGCTCCCAGAACAGGGTGGATTCGCTTGTTTACTGGGGGCGGAGGGTGCCAGTCTAAGTGGCTACCAGCGGGCACTGAGGCCCCACGGAAACCGAACAGAAGGTCAAGGCTGGCCCACGCAGAGGCCAGCAGACGGCGGCGGGGCTGACAGTCAGAGCGGCAAGTGGCACCCGTTCCCTGTCCCCTCAGGCACGGCCCACGCAGCCCGCCCGGGAGACGCCCGCCAGCACACGGACTCACGGCAGTGCCTCGGGGAGGAAGGCCCACCGGGCCCATGGACTCCGGGGTCGGCTCACCTTAAACTGATCCACCCTCTCCAGCTTCTCCAGGTCCGGCACCAGCCTCACGCCATCCTCCAGCGTTTTAAGGAATTCTACTTGAAACTCGACCATTTCCGTTAAATTCCCAAAGAGCACGTCGAGCTGGAAAATGAGGAAGAATTTAACTATTTCATAGTTCGCTGGTGTTCGGAAACTTTATTTGCTTCTGATGTTAATCGATGCGTATCCGTGGAGACAATGACCCCCGAGGGAGGGGCAGCCCGAGCCTCCGGGCCCAGAGAGCTGCCCATCAGCTCCAATGAGTGGACTGCTCCCACCCACGCACACCGCCCCCTCGCCTCCGGGGGGGCTGCGCTGTCACCCTACCTCGTCTTGGGTGAGAAAGGTTTCTTTTTGAAGAGGCTGTAGGTATCTCTCCATGAGACAGTTTAAGTCCTAAGGGTTGAAAGAGTATCTCATCAACACACAGTCAAAGTCTGTAAAGACTCAAAAGGGGGAAAAAAAGATGACGTTCCAAACGTCAGCAGTCCACAGTCTTTAGGCCACGAAGGCCCACGAAAGGGCGGAGCCCACGTGCTAGAACCTCCGGTCCACAGGTGCCGGGCCGCGCCCCACGTGAGCAGCAGAGGGCTGGACGCGCCTGAGGGCCGTCACTTGCTGACCCTCGACTGACAGACCAAAATGGGTCACTCAAAACAGGTCACACTGCGGTGACTAAATACCACTAAGTTATATTTAAGAGTATATAATTACCAGTTATCGGAAGTGTTCTAAATGTTTTAAGTGAGATATAAACCTACAGCATGAATTATATAGACAAATAATAGAACTGATTGTCAGAACAAGTGTTACTACCAAGATAACTTTCCCAAAAGTAAATTCAATTTTAGCGTCAGCTCAACAGTGTGACTTAGAAGGGTCAGAAGGTCACTCACAGTGACCGTCACCGCAGGTATCCAGGCGGGGCAGAGGGGTTCTGCCGTCCTGAGGACTCGAAACACAGACGTAATTCCTGTGTGTTATTAATCACTGTGTTATTTCCACAAGGACAACCGTCAGCCGACGCAGGCCCCGCCTGTGCGTCCCAGTGAACGGCTGTAAGAATCGGTGTGGGCGCTTAAAACACAAAAGGAAATCTCGACATCGGAATAAAGGCCACATCCTACAGGAGACCCCGGCCGTCCTGGCTCTGGGACCTGGCTCTGCTGCGGTCGGTCGCGGTGGGGGGACAGTCCTGGGGGTGGCACCACGAGGGGTGGGCACCTGGGGGCGGCACCGCGGGGCTCACCTTCACGTAGGTGCGCTCGGTCTCCAGGAGCTCACAGATCACCTTGCGCAGCTTGTCGGCGTCCGTGAGCTGCCTCGTGGCCGGCTGCGGCCCGCTGGAGTCCTGGGGGGACGGGCTCAAGTCACTGGGGTTCATCTCCTGCAGACTGCGGTAGAACGCGGCCCCCTGTTCCGTGCTCTCCAGAGCACAGGTGGAAGGGCGAGGCAGGTGAAGTGAGCCGGCACTCACTGCGGCCACCTGCCCGCGCCGCCCGTCCTCAGCATGTCCCACCTGGGCATCACCCCTCCCCCACCGGGGCATCACCCCTCCCCCCACCTGGGCATCACCCCTCCCCCCACCTGGGCATCACCCCTCCCCCCCACCTGGGCATCTCCCCCCAACCTGGGCATCACCCCTACCCCCACACCTGGGCATCATCACCCTTCCTCCCCCCCCCCCCCGGCATCACCCCCCCCACTTCCGGCTACTCGCATCAGGACCACCGCTACGTACACTCCACACCAGCTGGGGCGGAACTGCTGACGTATCTCCGCCCCCACGTGGTCGGGAAGGACTAGTTCCCCTGGGGGAGCCCAGGCCGCCCAGGTCACTGGGTCACTGGGGTGTGGCCGGGCCTTCACTGCTCTAACCCATGGTCTCCTCCGACCCCCCCACCCCGACTCAGGCTAATCACTGGTCCCGAGTTACACTAGGAAATGCCTTCGGCGTCCCCGGGGACACCTGAAGACCCCGAGCCCTCTCCTGAGAGGGCAGAGGTGCAGGCAGCCCTTCTTCCCCACCCCGAGCTGAGGGCAGTTCATCAGACAGGGTGTCTGGAGTCCAGGGGGCCAAGCCGTCTGCCCGCGGACAACGCTGTCCTCTGGTTCCAGGGGCAAACTCTCGGGATTATGGAGGGAACTGGGCCCAAATGGACGCAGTCTGTCCGCTCAGTCACCAGCTACATGCGGGAAGCATCAGAAAGCCCGGCTCTCAAGTCCGCACGAGCGTCTGTCCAAGGGAGTTGTTTGTAAGGCTCTCATTAAATCTGGCTCGGAAACAATTTGCTTAAAAAGAAGTCATCGAGGATTTTGTTTTACTCGCATATTACCGAACAGAAAACCCTCAGAAGGAAGCAAGGTACAGAGGTCTGCTTCAGAATAATCGCATGGAGAGATCTGGGACGTCAAGCTCCATGGGGCGGGGGCTCCCCAGGTACTGGGGCCATGACGGACACAGGAGAAGCCGGCACAGCTGTCCCCGCCCAACACTGAGGGTGACCTGGCGTCCTGGTCATTCCCCACCCAGCAGGAGAGCTGGGGAGCTGCCCTGGGGGGTTCTCAGTGCACCCCAGAAAGCGAACTTCCCGGGACTGGGCAGGAGTGAAGGACTTGGAGAAGGAGGGGCCGGGCGGAGGGGGACAAGCCTGCCCCCGCGATGCAGCCGGTCACCCTGGAAACAGCAGCACTAGGAGCTGTCGGGGGAGGGGAGGCAGGGAGCCACCCGGACACACAGAGGACAGGGCGGGAGGCCGGGCAGACACTGCCTGCGGCCACTTTGTGCCCAGATGAGAAGGAAGCAGAGGCCGGCTCTGCAGGGCGGCAGGACTCCTGCCTTCTCCAGATGAGCCCCCGGTTCCAAACCCCCCTTGATCTCCACAAGCTAACACAACCCCCGGCTTTGAAACGGGCACGGTAACCCCAAATCTCACAGCCTTTCCTGGGGCTTTTGGAGACAAGCTTCAGAGGGAAGTGCACCCTAATTTCAGAGCCCACCCCCCCGGGGGGGGCCCCCAGGTCCCTGCCGCCCCTCAGACTCCTTCTGAACCAAGTCTGCAGAGGACACATCCAAGGACGAGGGCCAGGTACACACATCGGACCCACCACTGCGAGTCCAAGTTTCCTCCAACAGCACAGAGTCGACCAGCCGGCATGTCGGAATGAAAGGGCCAGAAGCTTCATGGACTTGGGGAGATTGCTCCGTACCCCTGACCCACTGATTTCCCACTTGGAGCCCACACGGACCACAGGGACCGAGGAGTGGGCTCCGACAGCACCGATTGCTGACGGAACTGTGGGCGCACCCTGAACCAGCTCCTTCCCGAGCACAAAGAAACAGGCTCAAGTCCACCGGGGGGCAAGTCCACTGGGCAGGCGAGTCCACCCAGGGGGCACATCCACCGGGGGGAAGGCCACAGGGGGGAAAGTCCACCCGGGGGCAAGTCCACGGGGGGGGGGGAGTTCACCCAGGGCGCACGTCCACCCAGGGGACAAGTCCACCCGGGGGCAAGTCCACGGGGGGGGGGGGAGTTCACCCAGGGGGCACGTCCACCCGGGGCAAGCGCGCAGCCTCCCCGAGATGCCTGTGAGCACTCAGCTGCGGGCGGAGCGGGACGGGCAGGCCGCCCACCGCCCACCGGTGAAACAGACACACTGATCTCAACATGGAAAGAACTGAGGAAAATTCAAATGACAGTTTAAAAAAAAACACAAAGACATCTTTCTGCCACAAAGAGAGAAGATAGATCTGAGCAGATTCCGAGGCAAATCCAACTTCCCGGGATTGCTGCGCCCTGCCCCCATGCGAGCCCTGGGGGAATGGGCCCTGATGCCCGAGGCCCAAGCCAGGAGGAGGCGGCGGACAGGACTCACGCGCTCACCAGATGAAGGGACTGACGGGCGGGGGCCCCGGACAGTTCCGCTCTCAGTCCGGGGCTGGCTTCCTTCTCCACAGTGCAGGACACGTCCTCCAGGGCTACCTGCCGTCCTCCAGGGAGGGGTACCTGCCCTGCTCAGCTCAGAGGCTGGGGTTCTTCAAATACTCCCTGCGCCCGAGCCTTCCCGCTGCTCCCCAGAGAGCCTGCTCCTAAGGAGACAGCCCCCGGCTGTCCCAGCAGGACCCAGGGCCACACCTCCACACGGAGAGGGCAGGGACAGGGGTCAAAGGCCACACGGGGGACGGGAACCCATGCCCTGACTGCACCCCAAGAGCCAGCGAAGTTCCGAAAGGGAGAACCCAGAGGCGGACACGCGAAACAAAGCAGACACTTCCCGGATGAGAGTGTCCCCTGTGCATCTCGGTCAGCTGACTGGCCAGCATCCTGCGCTGCCGGACTCCAACCCGGCTCAACTCTGAAGACACCCCCCGGGCCCAGGCAGGCACCAAAACGCACAATGGGTTATTTTTTTTAACAGTTTATATTTCACACTTTCTGCTATTGTCTGCAAAGCAGACGTTTCCTAGACAATCAGAGTGTGGATGAAAAAGGAAGAGAGGGTTTTCAGAGTGAAAATGTTCTGAAAATCCTCTAACACATCTGCTGCGGGCAAACGTCATCACGCTGCCCCAGGGCCGGAGGGCAGGACACAGCTGTCCTGGGCTAATGAGCACCAGGTTCCAGAGACGAGAGTCCGGGATTAAACGCAGAGAAACAAGTAGCCAGTGGGGAGGCGGTCCTCTGAGGCTGTCTGCTCAGGGAGAGAAAGGCCTCAGACTGCCCCCGAGGACATCCGGCCCCCAGGGGTGCAAGACCCCCACCCCCACGATGAGACATTCCACCACCTCTCGCTAGTTCACAATGACCTCCTTGCTCAACCCCAAAGGCTGCCTGTAGCAAACGCTATTTAAAAACAAACAAACAATCAAAAAACACATAAAATTCCAACACAAGTTCTCTTTATCCTGCCCAAAATTTCTTAAAACAATTCATTGAGGAAAAACTGCAAAAATATTCCATCAATAGCTGTCCCATATTTAGCCAGGATGAAAAAATGGTGACTTGCTTTATTTCATTAATGTGTTTGTTTGTTATTTATTCATACATTTCTACACCCAACCTGCTGCATCCAAAATCACCCTCCATCCCGTGGCAGTTCATAACGCAAAGTGTTCACTTTATTCTCAATGAAAACTGCAGCCCTGGCCAGTTTGGCTCAGCGGTTAGAGCGTCGGCCTGCGGTCCGGAGAGACCCGGGTTCGGTTCCCGCTAAGGGCACGTACCTCGGTTGCAGTTTGTCCCCGGCCTTGGTTGGTCGTGCGGGTGGCAGCCACTCGATGTGTCCCTTCACATCGATGTTTCTCTCTCTCCCTTCCTCTCTCTCCCTCCCACTCTATCTGTACAAAAAAAATGGAAAAATGTCCTCGGGTGAGGATAAAAAAAAAAAGAAAGAAAAAAAAAAAATTGCACACTGACTTAAGAGATGCATCAAAACAATATTTAACTTAATCAAGAGACTTAAGATGGTTTGCTCTGAGTTTACATCATTAAAAAAAAAAGACCCAGAAAGCTTAAGTCTCAGGAAAATACCTGAGTAGGTAACGAGCATGTATAATTGACTTGCAACACCACTAATTAATTAATTCCTTCCTTTTAAGAAACCTGGTATTTAACCCCAGACCACAGTCTAGCCGGAAGATAGTTTTAGAAAAGCAGTTAACAGCATGGGCCTGGTTTTGCCACCTCAGCGCTGTGTGACCTTCAATAAGTTGCTTAGCTTCTCTGTTCCAATACTGTCACCTGTAAACAGGGAATAACACACGTCTCTCAGGTACTGGGACGAGGAGACGAGTTACCATGGCCAGTGCCCAGGACACACAAGCCACTGAGAAGTGTTAGCTCTCGCTTATTACTAACAATACACAGAAGGACACGGTCTCCAAGACTCATTCGCTTGATGCAAACTTTCTGCTTCTAAATATTCTAAGCGAGAAATTTAATTCACAAAAGGCTGTTTAGTTAAGGAACCTGGGCTGCATGATAAAATAACTCAAAGAAGACAGTGTCTGAACAAACAAAAACTAGGGAGCATTTCTGAAAGAATCCCACAAAGCCCCCCCCGCCGAGTAAAAGCAGTAGGAGCCCGTCTGACCCCCAAACATACTAAGGCTGTCACCCAAAGTTGTCAATAATGTACAGAAATTCTGCAGTGAAACCCAAGAACAGCATCACCTGGCCCTACATCGACCCTGTGTGTACCAGGTGAGTTCAGGCATTTCCTGGACAAACACCTACCAAGTCAGACAGACGCCCGGGGTCAGCAGACAGAACCCAGGGGCCTCTTCCTTCCTCTCCATGACTCACTCTATTTAAAGTGGAAACAATCCAGCCCGGCCGGTGTGGCTCAGTGGACTGGGTGCCGTCCCACGGACTGAGAGGTCCGGGTTCGATTCCCATCAGGGCACATGCCCCGGTTGCAGGCTCGGTCCCCAGTAGGGGGCGTGCAGGAGGCGGCCGGTCAGTGTTTCTCTCTCTCCCTTCCTCTCTAAAAACAAATTAATAAAAACATATTTTAAAAAAAGAAAGAAGCCCCATAGAGACATATAAACAGACAGAGTGCATGGGGAAGAGTGGTTTTCACAATAACCGTCCACATTTGAGCAGCACAGTCCGTCACCAGTGATCTTTCCACAGTGGATTCTCTGCCCCCCCCCCCATCACTGGGCAGAGGCGAGAGCCCCCCGACCCTGCAGATGGTGACAGGCAGGTGTCAAACGAAAGAATGAGAGACTGGTGGCGACACCAGCCTAAGATGTCAGCACCGTCATCAAAAAGGGATGAAGAAGCACAGGACAAGCCCACACAGCTGCCCGTCCGGGGAGAGGTCTTTCGGACGCAGGGGCGGAGCCTTTGGAGCCCTGTGCTGGGGGCAGAGGAGAGGCTGCTGGCCACGAGGCTCCGGGCGGCATGACGGACGCTGGCGAGACTGGGAAACCATCACAGTCCCAGACTGAAGAGCAGAACAAGGACCTGACGATATTTTTATCGTCACCTCGACTGTTGCTATCTTACAGGACAGCGTCATTATTACAGCGTCATTATTACGGGGGAAAGGATACAATGAAACTGCATCTTCCCCTTCAACGCTCTGAACACGAGTGTGTCACCAGGAACAGATACAATGAAACTGCATCTTCCCCTTCAATGGGCAAGAAGCTCACTCTGAACACGACGTGTCACCAGGAACAGATACAATGAAACTGCATCTTCCCTTCAACGGGCAGGAGGCGCACTCTGAACACGACGTGTCACCGCGCATCACAGAAACCACCAGCCCCCGGACCACAGAGCAGCCCCCGCCCACGGCTCGGAGCCGCGTCCTCCTCCACGAAGGGGTGAACCAGGCTTCGGTTCGGGGCAGGCCCTTGGGCCCGCTCCCTCGCCCACGGGTGTGCTAGCGAGGCTACAGTTTGGGGTTCGGACCTCACTTGGTGCCATCACAGAATGCAAACACCGGGTCCCGTGGAGAGGCCTCCAGCCACCTCCAGCTGCGAAGGTGACAGGGCGCAAGGTGTGGGCGTGGAAATGAGAATCTCACCTTGCTGCTGCGGTCGGTGTCATCCGAGGACTCCGCGTCCGGCCCCTCGGCCTCCTCGGAGGTGGTGGTCTCAGCACTGCTGCCCTGCGTGCCCGGGCTGTGCCCTGCAGGACAGAATCAGAGGGAAACGCGGGTGATTTGGACGGTCTCGGCGGAGCCATCCCGTGTGCGGGGCCAGGCGCCAAGCTCAGGATGGGAACGCGTGTCGCAGCTTGGTGGTTTTTATTTTTATCGTCACCTCGACTGTTGTTATCTCACAGGACAGCGTCATTATTACAATAGACTGCGATAGTTACGGTGTCCCCCAGATCCGCACGCTGAAGCTCTAACCCCCAGGGTGATGCATCGGGAGGGAGACCCGGGTACACACACCCGGACACGACAGCCCGGAGGCTAGAAACCTCCTCCGATTCGGAGTCCCCACCTCCTGCCACACCCCACGCACACGGAAGGAAGAGAACATCCTCTCCTCTGAAAGGCTTCCCAAATGTGGAGCATCTCAGACTCAGAGGCAGCAGACTTGTGGTTGGACCGAGAATTCTGCAGGCAACACCAGCAATACTGCCAGGCCGGGGCCCACACCTGGGGCAGCGAGCTCCGGGTCACTGATGGAGCTCTGGCTGGGCTGACAGGACGTGGTCCTCACACCTGTCTGGCACAGGCAGGGACTGCGGTACTGTCACCTGAACCAGACGAGAGGAAGACAGGCAGGCAGGCAGGCAGGCAGGAAGGAAGGGAGGGAGGGAGGAGAGGGGAGGGGAGGAGGGGAGGAGGGAAGGAGGGGAGGAGGGAGGGTAAAGGAGAGGAAGGGGCCACTTTCTGACTTTGGATGAAAACCTCCCTCTAGCCCTGGCCGGTTTGGCTCAGCGGTAGAGCGTTGGTCTGCAGACCAGAGAGACCTGGGTTCGGTTCCTGCTAAGGGCACGTGCCTCGGTTGCAGTTTGTCCCCAGCCCCAGTTGGGCTTGTGTGGGTGGCAGCCACTCGATGTGTCTCTCTCACATCGATGCTTCTCCCTCTCTCTTCCTCCCTCTCTCCTTCCCGCTCTGAGGATAAATGCAAAAATGTCCTCGGGTAAAAAAGAAAACCCCCCTGTGCCAGGAGGCTGCCTGACCCCAGTGGCACCTTCACAGCTGCCGCCGCGTGGCCTTCCTCTGTCTCAGATTCTAGCTGGCGGAGAAACCTCGAGAGGAAGCCCAGCTCTGAGCAAGCTCTGCCCCAGGCCCCTGCAGCCCCCAGAGTGAAGGGCACTGAGGGGAAGGCCCCATGAGGCTTCCTGTGTGTTGCTCCCCTTCTCGGATTTCCGGCATTTTCTTTTCTTTATTGATTTCAGAGAGAGAGGAAGGAGCAGAGAGAGAGATGGAAACATGGATGAGAGAGAACACCGACTGGCCGCCTCCTGCACGCCCCCCACTGGGGACGGGCCCACGGCCTGAGCATGTGCCCTGACCGGGAATCGAACCAGTGACCTCTTGGTGCAGGGTCGACGCTCAACCACTGAGCCACACCGGCTGAGCTTTTCTTGCATTTTCTACACGACGCTCTCTTAAGAGCGTTCTCCTGATGGAGGTGTGTTCGCAGCCAGCGCGGGACAGACCGGAGGAGGCGCCAGGCGGCCCCGTCCCTGAAGCGCGCACCTGGAACATCTCTGATGTCCACTGTCAAGTCCCTCTGGGGCTCCGATTAAAGGAGGAAGGAAGAACCAATGTCCCGTACAGAAGCGGCTCCCAAACCTTTCCAAAGGGATCCAATTACGACAGCGGCTTATTTTAAAGACCCTCTTCACCCCCGAGTGTAAAGCCTGATAGGAAAGGTGGGCTGAGGGGCGGGGCCGAGGGGGCAGACTCGGCCAGTGAGGACGGGTAGCGGCTTGTCCTTGGGCCGTGACCCTCTTTGCTCTTCAGTCACCTGACTGTCCTCTGAGTGTTCGGATTCCACAGAAACACTCAGAATGTGTGAGATTCACACAGACACCTGGTCCCCCACAAAGCTAAGGAACAAAAACAAAACAACTACAGAAAAATCAACGACTGGGAGAGCTGAATACTCTCTGTGGGCAGAAGTGGAAACACGTTACTTCGACTCGGTAAACAGAAAACAGTAACTCTTTCTGGCCCGGTTTCACTCACAAAATCTCGGCCTCCCTTCCCGCAGACTTGCATCCGGAAACGCTGCAGATAGAGGCCCCCGATCGCACCGCCCGTGGGAAAGGCTAACACAGGGACCCGACTATGTTCTTCAAGAACTAAACACGGAGGCCCTGTTCTGAGACAGCATTGTCCACCGCAGGGCTAGACAGGTGTCCAGCTGGAGGTCGGGACCTGGCCCGGGCCCCCCACCCCCTGCGAGGGTCACTGAGCACAGTTGGCAAAGCTCTCGTGGCTCCCGGCTTCTCGACACCCAGCCACGGGCCACGGGCCACGGGCCACAGGCCACTGGTACCTGTGGGCTTCGGAGAGTTGGCAGAACTGAGCATCAGGCTCGTGGGAGAGAAACCGTGCACTGCCTCCCTTGGCAACCTCTCCCTGCTGCCTGACCGACCGTCTCCAGACAACCTGTGGACGGCCTGGGAGGACCACCAGCCCCAGGAGCTGCAGACGGCCTGGGAGGACCACCAGCCCCAGGAGCTGCAGATGGTCTGAGTGGACCACCAGCCCCAGGAGCTGCAGACGGTCTGAGTGGACCACCAGCCCGACGAGCTGCGGAGGGTCTGAGTGGACCACCAGCCCCAGGAGCTGCAGACGGTCTGAGTGGACCACCAGCCCACACGGAGCCTGCTCTGCTCTGCATCAAAGGGCCGCTGTCTGCACGGGGCGCTGACCCAGTCCTCACGCTCACCAGGACCTCAACTCTCAGGAGGGACGTCTGGACTCACTGCAGTCTCCACTGGGCATGCGACAGACACGCCCGCGTGAATCACAAGGGCTGAGTCTCCCCACACAGTGGTGCCCTAACACACACGGGTTGGTGAGTCCGGAAGGGCACTGAGCTCCAGCCGAGCACCAGCTTCACCCCGTCCAGGCGGCAGCGTCTGGGACTGGGAACGAGACAACCCGACACCACGTGAACTGGGGGTCACCCTGGCACACAGTCTGGGGTTTCGTACCGCCGCTGACTGAAACACCTCCATTTTGAGGGTTCATTTCAGGGACACGGACATTCCCACCCACGTCTGGGACACAGAGCCAGCCTTCAGAGCCAGCCCGTGTGCCCTGAGCGTGTCCCTCGTCTCGAAAAGAAAAAACAAGCCGCCAGCGACGGGCCTGTGCTGGAACCTGACTCTCTACAAACCGCCTCGGATGCTGACTTCCTTCGTGCGCTGAGGTTCACGGTGGCATCTCCCTGACGGGGCGGCCGAGGTGCAGACGCCCCACTCGGGGCGCACCTGGGGCGACCCCACCACACAGCCACCTGGCCTGGTGGTGGGCGGTGCCAGACGAGACCCGGGCGCACAGTGAACGGCGTGGGGACGTCGGAGGCTCTCTGGACCCTCACACTGGCTCCCCGCTTCCTGCTCCGGTCCCCTCAGGCCCGGCTCTCCCTACGGTGACCGCCCCCAAGGGACTGACTTTTTCCCCCGTCTTTTGCCCATGGGCACCTACACAAGCGGGGGGCGGGGAGTCAAGATGAAAGTAGCCCCAGATTTCAACTTTCAGCCCCAGTAAGAGTTCAGCCAGGACTCACGACGGCCAACCACCAGGGACAGGTAGCTGGTCTGGGAGGACAGCCCCTGGCTCCCTGGGCCTCAGGGGCCTCCTTCCCACAGACCAACAGGGAGTCGTCGGGTCGCCCAGCAGTTCAGCACGGAATCCCCAGGACACAGCCGCCAAGGGGTCCAGGGATAACACCGCAGGCGGCTTCCCTGTGACCACAGCACTCCCACCTTCTGCTGCTCCACCGCGACAGACAACGAGGGTCAGTGACCAGGAGCAGCTCGTAACCTCAGGTGTGGCCCCCATCCTGGCTGAGGGTAGAACCCCAGGAGTTTAAGAAGCCACCGGGCTAAGCCCACGGGGCCAGCCCAGAGCGAGCGAGTCATGGCAGGGACGGCCGGGTCTCCTCAGACGGCACGCACCTCTCCCGCTACGTGTGGGTGCGATGCATGGACGCAGTCCCCACGCTGGCTGCGGGCTGAGTGGAGGACGGGGCAGGCAGATCCCAGAGGAGGGGTACAGGGCAGAGAATCTGCCCCTCCCGCAGAGGCCCTCGGGGTCCAGTCTCTCCTGAGTGTGTCCTGGCACCTGGCCAAACACCACTTTTATAGCTCGGTCAGCCCTCGACATATCCAGTGAGACCACGGTGTGCAGTCACCCCCAGGCCATGCATGAGGACCCCGAGGCATCACGTGTGGCCTGTTGGAAGCTACACGCGTGGCCTATTTGAAGCTAATCAACAGAGGATGGACTCGGACCCCAGGCGCCTGGTTCAAGAGCCCACACGGGTCGGCTAGGACCGTCTAACAGGAGCAGGGCAGGAAGCACATCCCCACGCACAGCTCCAAAGGGAGGTTTCGATGGGTTTTAACAATGTCAGCTCCAGAGGCGAAGCAGACAGCGAGGCGGGGAACAGAAGGTGGGGGACAGAAGGTGGGGGTCAACTTGAAACTCCAGCACACACCCGGCTGGTGTGGCTCAGTGGATGGAACGTTGTCCATGGACTGAGAGGTCCCAGTTCGATTCCCAGTCAGGACACATGCCCAGGTTGTGGGCTCATCCCCAGTGGGGTGAGCAGGAGGCAGCCGATCGATGTTTCTCTCTCTCCCTTCCTCTCCCTAAAAAAATCAAAGAAAACATATTTTTAAAACTCCAGCATATACAAGATGGGACCTATATACACACATATATTTCCAAAACAGATATCTACACAGAAACACACTTTTCATCTTCAAAAATTTTTAACAACAATTTTGAATTTGCAAAGTGCACACGCCCACCATTTTTAGAGAAGAAATACACGAAAGCAGTGACCATCTTTGAAGGAACGGACGGCGAGCCACTCGCTCACCCTGACCTCAGGGGTCGGCGGACTGTCTATCAAGGGTCAGTCAGCACCGTGCTCTGCGGACCCCGGTCCCTGTCCCAGCTGCTCAGCTCTGCCGGGCAAGGGGACGGTGGCCACAGACAAGACATGAATGACCGCGGGAAACCACATTTACAAACAAACAGGCCAGAGCCCTGGCCAGTTCAGCTCAGTGGCTAGAGCATCAGCTCGCGGACCAGAGTCTCAGGTTCGATTCTGGTCAAGGGCACGTACCTCGGTTGCGGTTCGTCCCCAGCCCCGACTGGGGTCATGTGGGAGGCAACCAATTGAGGTTTTTCTTTCTCTCTCTCTGTCTCCCACTCCATCTGAAGATAAATGGAAACATATCCTTGGGTGACGATTAAACAACAACAACAAAGAGGCCTGAGGCCAACCCTGGCCAGCAAGTCAGTGGCCCCTCTCTGCTTCCATCCATAACCCACAGGAAGGGCTCGGACAGTTAAAGAGCCAGAGGAAGCTGAGTACACCCCGCTGTCTGCGCCACGTCCGTCCACACTGAATAAAATCCTTTAAGTACCTGAACCTAACTCGGACTCCTTCCAAGTCGTCACAGAAAACACCGCTGGAGCCGGTTTCTGGGCTCGCGCCCGCCCTCTTGTGGTCAGAGCGAGGAACAGCCCTCGGGGCCCCGCCCATCAGTACAGGTGCGGCTCCTGGGTCCTTCTCTGCATCTGATGGGCTGCGGGCCCCACCCTGGCCCCACCCTGGCCACAGGGGTCCGGGACGCCAACAGCACTAAGCACAACTGATTTTCCGAAGCCTCCACGTGTGGAAGGCTCCCAGGGAGAATAGAACAAAACGATGACTCTTTTTGCCCTGCACACACCACCCACACTCGGATGTCGAAACAGAAGACTTGCTTCTTTAACCCAAGTTCTTCAAAGAAAACAGATTCAAAATCCCAACCTACGCAATGGCCCCCCCACTCCCCCCCACCCCCGAACTGGGCTGCTCAAGACGCTCTCGCCCTAGGGCGCCACCTGGAGGAGACACGGACTGGGCACAGACAGGGCCCGGAGAGACTGCGGGGGTGACAAGGGCAGGTGCCTCCGCGGGGCCTGGGGCCCTGAGGAGGGTGCGCCCCAAAGGCTCCCAGGACAGCCTCGGGGCAGGGAGTGCTCACGGTTGAGCCCAGCGTTGCCGAAGGAAGAGGGAGCAGGTGTCCCCAGGAGGGAGGGAGCAGGTGTCCCCAGGAGGGAGGGAGCAGGTGTGCAGGGCGGGGGCTCCGCCCACGGGCTCCCCTCGGACTCCGGACAAGTGCAGCAAAGCAGAGCTCCGAGCGCACGTCCACTCTGGGGTCCGTGTCCTCGGTCACACAGAAGGGACGCGGTCTCGGTGGTTGGGGGATGGGGAGCTGGACGGCAGGGGCAGGACCCAGAGCCCAGCGTCTCCCATGACGCCAGCACTTCTGTGTCTGCGCCTCTGTCCACGGCCCTGAGATGGTGGCCTCGCCCACTGGTCTTTCTCCAAAATGCCACACAGCAGCGTGAAGCCCCCCATATGACAGGTGGACGTGTAGCAAACAGTGCCCCCCCAAGAACAAGAGCTCCCTGCCTGTGACATTCAGCAGAAACGCAGGCTCTGTAGGCAGCTCATCTGCACACCCAGCCCCGAAGCAGGGGAGCCGTGGGGTCCAGTCCGCAGGCGGCCCCGGGCTCAGGCACGCGACCACAGGTCCCCACTTACCTGGGCTGCTGGCGAGCAGGGCAAGGGGGCCCTGGCCGGGGTCCGCAGGGCCGTCAGCTCTGTGGGGCGGGTTTTCCAGCAGCGGGGGGCCCCCCTCCTGCGCGGGCCGCGTCCTCACCAGGAGGCCCAGGCTGGGCTGCGAGAGGAAGTCTCTGAGCGCGGCTGAGCTCAGCGAGGCGGCAGCGTGACCGTTGATCTCGAGAACCTCGTCTCCTGCCCTCAGACCTGCCACGGGACGGAAAAGGCTGTTTCACACCACGGGCGCCGCCGCGGAGCCCTGCACAGGGCCTCGGGGGGCTGCAGGGCCCAGGGGCTCGGGTCCGGGAGGTTCCAGCCACTGCAGCTGGACACACTGGCTCCTTCCCCGTCTGCCAGCGTCCCCTCCCAGACGCCGGGGTCCTTGGACCACGGCGCCCGTGCTGTGTCCAGACGCTCAGCCGTGCCGCTCGGCTACCAGGGTGTCCCGATCGCTCCTATGAACCCAAATGCAACGAGCTCGCTCTGGCGACGGCAGCCCAGGGTCGCCTACCGCACACACCGCTCAGACAGCAGCTTACAGAGCCGCCTGTGGTCCGCCCCCGTCACCACATCAGGACCGTGGGGAGAACACCTTGTGGAAAGTCCCGGAGGGCCCGCGGCCTCTGCAGAGCTGCCCCCGTGGGACCCAAGGAGCAGCCTGCTGGGGACCTGGAAGCTGAGACTGACGCAGGCTCCGAGCTGTTCCTAGAACATTCCCGGAGGGGGAGGGGGAGGGGGAGGCAAGGGAAGGACACCCCGGTACCGGCCGGCTGACGGAGTGGCCACTACTGTACAGACTGTGGAAAAGCAAACTTGAAGGAAGCAGCGAGCCCGGGCAGAGACACGATGAGGTGCAGAAACGATGGCCCCAGGCCAACCCCCCCCCCCGATTCTGCAGACAAAGGACCCTGCCGCCTCACGGCCACATCCCGGCCCTGGACTCGGGTGTCCACGCTTCTATCATGAAACACGCCAAGGAACAGTCGGGGGGCAGGGGGTGACGGAAGAGAAACGAGCGTTTTTCTCCGTGTGGCAGGTGGAATTCCGGGGTGCTAACCAGCCCATTTTAGGGAGATTTTGGCACCCCAACATTTGAATTGAAAATACAAAATGTGTCCTTGGGGAAAGTGGTGGTTTTCTGTGTGCGCTTGTTCGTTTGTTTCTTCAAGTCCCCTGGAGACACCCTGGCGGCCGATCACCAGAGGAGGTGACACCGGGAGACACGCGCACCGAGGTCCGGGCTCGCTGTGGCTGGTGGGGGTGGAGCGAGGTGGCCCCAGACCGACAGGCCGTGTCCGGGCCTGAGCGCGTGACCTCAATGGAAACGACCTCCACGGCCGAAACTGAGGACCCCGAGACGGGACCGCGCTGGGCTAGCTTAGCTGATGGTCCGGAACTTGACCACAGGACAAAGTTCTCGCAGGAGACACAGGGGAGACATGGAGGAGCGGCGTGTGCAGAGGGAGGCAGAGGTCACAGGGCAGTGCCAGCCGGCTCCGCTGACCCGGAGGGGACCAGGGCCGAGCCCGGCACGGCGACAGAGAGGGCGCCCACGCCCCGGGGTCCGTCACCCACAGGAGCACAGCCCAGGAAGCCCAGCCGAGCGCAGGGCGGGAGGGCAGGGCCACGGGACGCGCCATCAGCCCCTCACAAGCTGAGAGCCCACGAGGGCTCACAGACTGAAGGAGGCTGGGCCGGCTCCGCTGGGGTCCCACGAGGCCACCTGTCCCGAGGGCGACGGCCAGGCCGTGTCCCACAGTCCCACGAGCCGTGCAGGGAGCTGGCGACAACGTGGGAAGGCCACGCTTAGACGCTGTGGCAGGTGGGCAGGCTGAGGCTGGGGGAGGGGCGGCCCTGTCGCCAGAGGCCAGTGGCCCCCGCAGTCCCGGGGCCTCCTCAAGGAGCCCGGGACAGGTGCCCGGCATGAGCAGAGAACAGCCGGCCCGCGAGGGTGGGGGCAGACGGCCGTGTGTTTTCTCTGACACCACATCTTGGATTCAAAGAACTGAACAGGATGTGACTGAACCCAGAGTGGCCCAGCCCCCCCCCCCCGCCCACGGGCCCCCTCCCGGGGCTGGAAGACACGGTTCGGCTCCGGGTTTGAAGGGAAGAAACCCTGTCCTGTCTGCACTTCGTGGGCGCAGCTTGTGAAGGTGTCCAGCTCTGGCCAAAAGGGAGGCCGGAACCTGAAGGGAACCGTCTCTCCCGACGGGAAGCGGAGCACCTGCGACTCGACCTCACCTCTGGTCTCCGCTCTGCCGCCCGTGTGCGCGGCCCAGTGTGCAGGCCTCTCCTCCAGGCCCCCGGCCAGTGCCCCGCCGCCCAGGGCCCAGCTGACCAGACACGGATGATGTGGAAGAACAGCGGCCGAGGGGTCCCCGGGGGGCAGACGCAGTCCCCAGGGGGGCAGACGCGGTCCCCCTGAGATGCCGACCCACCTGCGGGCCTTTCATTCAGCCGGGGCCGCCTGGCCGCCGCAGGGGTGGATCTAAGCACCGCCCTGCAAGGGGATGACAGGCACCGTCAGCCCCGCCTCCCTGCCCAGTGTGGGGCGAGCACAGTGGGCTCAACAGTGTCCCCCTGAAATGCCCGTCCACCAGGAACGTCAGAATGTGGCCGTCTCTGGGAGCAGGGTCCTGGCAGAGGTCATTCCGATTCGGGTAGACCCTCGATCAGCAACAGTGTTCCCGTAAGGAGGTCGCAGGACAGCAGACAGACACACGGGGAAGGCCAGGAGACGGAGGCAGAGACGGGGGGATGTGCCCACGAGCTGAGGAACCTAGGTTCTCCCCTCGAGGCTCCAGGAGGCAACGAGCCCTCCGGCACCGTGGCTCTGAGCCTCTGCCTCCCGAGCTGGAGGAGGAGGAGGGCACACTTCTGGGGTGTCAGTCCCCCGGCGCGAGGCCGCGGCCTCCTGCAGCCCGGGAGGCGGCAGTCCAGGCTCCCGTGAGGCACATTTCAGCCTGGACGGTAAAGAGCGGCTGGAGGGACGGGGCTCCCCTCGCAGGGGTGCAGCCCAGAAGAGCACCCTAGGGGGACAGCAGGCCGCGTGGGGAGCCCGGGCTCTCGCTCCGCAGGGACTCCTCCGTGAGCGGCGGCCACGCACACCTGCTCAGGGGCACCGTGGGCTCCGTGAGGGCACTGCCAGCTCGGACGGCGAGGACCGAGGCACAGAGGGCCGTCCCGGGTTCTGCTCCAGGAAGGCCCGGGGCCTCGTGCTGTCCTGGGCGGCAGCATGAATTTCCACCAGCCCCGGGGAAATGGACTCGGAATTAGACTGAAAATCCAAAACTGTGTCCAGCCGGTGTGGCTCAGTGGCTGAGCGTCGACCCTGCACCAAGAGGTCACCGGTTCGCTTCCCGGTCAGGGCACATGCCCAGGTTGTGGGCCGATCCCCCCAGTGGGGGGCGTGCAGGAGGCGGCCAGCCGATGTTCTCTCTCATCGATGTTTCTATCGCTCTCTCCCTCTCCCTCCCTCTCTCTCTAAAATCAATAAAGAAGAAAAAAAATCCAAAATTGTGTCATTTCTTACACTCCGGAGTTGATGGAATACTATCCACAGTCCCTGGAAGGGTTCTCAGGGAGCAACATTCAAATTCTCTGCAGTACCTGGCAGACCCTTCTCATGTGCCCACTCGAGGAAACCCAGCGACAATTTGAGACAGACAGACAGACAGACAGACGAGGTGACGTACCTTTCTTGGAGGCTAACCCCGTTTCCTTGACACTGTTCACGTACAGCCTTCGAACACCATCTTCTTCCACAGAGGACAGTGAGAACCCTGGGGTCACAGAGACAGAGAGGTGGGGTCAGCCGGGGCGCGGAGTGGACCCAGGAGGGCCTGTGGCTGCAGCGGCTGGTTTCCTGCTCACACCGAGTCACCAGCAGAGACAGCGTGTTCCGTCACTCTAGAGGACGCTCCAGCAGCAGCTGTGGGCCCAGGCCCTTCCCCGTCCACCCTGCCTGTCCACCCTGCCTGTCCACACTGCCTGTCCTCCCTGCCTGTCCACCCTGCCTGTCCACCCTGCCTGTCCACCCTGCCTGTCCGCCCAACGGGAAGACAGTGCTTCGTGAGGCCTGCGCGGCTAGGGAATGCCACGGGGCTGCCTTCCTCGGCCTCCTCCCCACAGCACAGAGCGCGTGGCTCCCAACGCACCTGCCCCGCCGCACCGGTCCCCCCCGCCCCCCGGCTCTGCCCAGCACAGGTGCTCACCTCCCGGCACCACCTGCCCTGAGCACACTGCTGCAGGACTAACGCTCAGCAAACAGGTTCAAGCAGCAGGTCCCTTCGGATCAGTCTCCTACGGATCCCGGTACCTCACCTGCCAGGCGAGTGGATGACCTGATCCGGGCCCAGGTACCCTGAGCTCCGGGCCCCACTAGCTCCTCAGGCTTGGCCTTGGCTACATCCTTCAGAAAGAGGGCAGAACGGGCCCCATGATATTAAGTGCTTTGGGGATCGTGGGTGTTCTCCGTCCCTGGGCTACCAGCTCTGGTCACCTCGATCCTAGACAGTCTCGTGTAAAATCTTTTGTCCCATCAATGGAACGCCCACGACATGTCCCCTCGGGATGACAGCCCTCGGCAGACGCTCCGAAAGGGCGACTGAAAGGAACCAGCGGTTAAGACGCCACTAACTTCAGCTCTGGGGGGAAGGTCCCGCCGCACACAGGCCTGTCCAAAGTTTCGGGGCGAGAACAGGGCTCACATGCCCCCGAGAGAGTGAGTGCCGGCCTGGGGCCCGAGCCGCCCGGCACGGACGTGTGTTGTTTGTGCAGTTTGCTCGCAGCCCAGGAAGCAGAGGCCCACGCGCGGCAACGCTACCCGCTGCCCCCGCCCACGGCGGTATCGGAACCCCTCCGAGGAGCCCAGGCCACGCCCTGCGGACTTTCCAAAGTCTTCGTTTTATTCTCTTATTTTGAATTCCATTCATACAGCGACTTGTAACTTTCAGATGACGTTTCCAGAAACCCCCAAGGATGCAGAATCCCGGCTGCGTCAGTGGAAAAAGTGGGTGAATTCACCCAAACACAGGCAGCTCCTTTCGGAAATGTGGCCCGTCTGTAACTTCTGAGAGTAAACTGTTTTTCTGATCAAAAATGAAAGGCGTGTGCCGACCAGCGGGGGGCCAGCTGGGGTGGACGGTGTCAGGACGGGGGGGGTGCCGAGAGCGCACACCACCTGAAGACAGAGTGGTGGACACGCCGGGGTCACCTGCTCCGGTCTCTATTTCTTTTCTTTTCTTTATATCTTTCTATGCTCACCCGAGGACACTTTTGCATTTATCTTCAGATAGAGCGGGAGGGAGAGAGCAGGGAAGAGAGACAGAGAGAAACATCGACGTGAAAGGGACACATCGACTGGTTGGCACCCACATGACCCCAACCGGGGCCGGGGACAAACTGCAACCGAGGTACGTGCCCTTCGCGGGAACCGAACCTGGGACTCTGATCCTCAGGCCAATGCTCTAACCGCTGAGCGACACCGGACAGGGCTCCAGTCTCTTTTTTAATAATCCAAAGGTAATAACAGCCCGGCCAGTGTGGCTCAGTGGATGGAGCGTCGTCCCAGGGACTGAGAGGTCCCAGTTCGATTCCCGGTCAGGGCACGTGCCTGGGTCGCAGGCTCAATCCCCAGTGGGGGGCGTGCAGGAGGCAGCCGATCGATGTTTCTCTCTCACATCAATGTTTCTATTTCTTTCTCCCTTCCTTTCTCTTTAAATAATAAAAACATTTTTAAAAAAAATTTTTTTTAAAGTAATAATGAGGGGAGGAGACACCCAGCCTGAAATGACTGGGACTCCCCCTGGGCAGGGGGAACCCGGTGTGGATCTGAGTGACGGGAGGGACTGGTCAGCGGGTGGGGCATCTCCGTGCTGGGGACGAGGGCTGAGGACAGTCACAGGCCCCTGTGGGAGACCCTCAGCTGGAAGCCACCGTTTGGAAATGGGGGCAGCACTGAGCTCCATGCAGGCCCCCACCAGGCGGGCAGGACGCCGGCCCCCACGCTCGGCTGCACGGCACACACCCCTGGGGTCTCGGGGTCCCGGCAGCCTCTGCTTCCAGACGCCAGCCCTGTGCGCCGGGGGAGGGATCACAACCATCACAACACCGACACACAAGTGAGGTCTCAGCTCCTACACCGCACTGCTCTGAGGAGACGGAGACACGGTGACAGGAACGGGGACATTCCAGGCAGCTTCTTCCCCCAAACGGAGCAGCGGCTTCCAATCCCAGCACACAGCGCTGCGCCCTTGGGGTTCTTCCGTGTGCACCCGTGTCCACGGTCAGGTACAACGGCCCACAGGCCCACCCGTGGCAACGGGGACAGTGGCCGGGAGATCGAAGGAAGCGATGCAACCGCGTGAGGATGCCAAGACGACAAGCCGTGAGGGGCATCAGCAGGAGACAACGCACCGACCTCAGCTGAGGACAAGCTCTGGCAATGTCACGCAGAGTGGCACGCACGCCCGGAGCCCAGGAAACACAGGAACTCAGGGCGGGGACCAGGCAGACACCTGGGACAGGACGGTGCCGGTGGACGCTCCCGGAGGACAGGGAGGCTCAGCGGCTAGAACAACAAGTCTTCCCCTTGGAGGCCTGGGGACCACGCTCAGCCCACCACGTGGCTGAGGGAACCGATTTCAGGACATGGCCTGACCGTCCTGCACCGAGGTGGACGGAGGGGCGGGAGAGGAAGCCCGTTTAAATCCTCCAGACTGCTCGGTCCACGTGACATGATGGGAGTGCCACGCCCTTCGCTGCTGGGCGTCACCGGGCGCAGTCGGCCCGTAGCCCTCGTTCGACCCCATGAATTCGACCCGCTGCAGGTCAAACACACTCAAACAAGAAAACATCCCAGGACACGGATCCCTAAACACAACACCGTACAACAGCTCCACACACCGCACCTGCGTGGTACTGGGCACCCCAAACAGGCAGGATGGAAAGAAGGGAGGATGTCAGGCGACCTGCAAATATCCCCCATTTACACACGGGACTTGAGTATCTCAGCCTCTGGCGCCCTTGGGGGTCCTGGAACCCAGCCCCGCTGACACCAAGACACACAGAGGCCACGCAAAGCCAGTCACCGTCTTTAACTCGGCCAGAACGCAGACCACGGTGTGGTCGAGAGCGTCAGCGTAGCAGGCCCCACGCCGGCCTGCCTCCAGGGCTGCCCCCGGCTGGCTCCCGGGAACGTGGTCCTGGAGGGCTCCCAACGCCCTCCCCTGCGGCGGATTCGAACACCTGCTCTCCTCGGGGAGTCTGGAGCTGTGGCCCACGCCAGCAAGAGGGTCTGCCTCCGTGGCTCTACATGTCACATGGTCAGAGCCCGCTGTGGGGGTCAGGACGTCTTGTGCCCCTGTGGAAAGGCCCCTGGAGGCTGGCGCCCACTTCCTGGGACGTCCCCCGGGGGCCTGTCTCCTTTACGAACACTGCCTCGCACAGATGTCCTGGAATAAGTCACAGTCTCGACCATGACCACGTGTTGAGGCCCGTGGGTCCTCGGTGAGTCTGCGAGCATGAGGGTGGTCTCAGGGACCCCCCACAGCACCCCGACAAGTTCATCTAACATTATGTGTGGGGGGACGGAGCATATTGCGTGCTTTGGGGGGAGAAATGCGGAATGTCTTCACAGTGGGGTCCATCGTATTACAAATGATCGACTCCCAATAAACCTATCTCCTTTTGAATGAGAGCACAGCGCCAAGGGTTCGAGTCATGCCACGGGAAGCTCACGTCCTGGCCCCGTGGGCGGCCCTCACGGCACGAGCTCCCAGACAGGCCGGCGGTCCCGATCTCGAGTGGCCGCAAAGTGCCTCACCGAACGGGACCTGAGCACGGGGCAGCTCTACCTGGAACACACCCACGATCGAAGAACAAACGCACCGTAATTCTCGCCGGCTGTGTCCGACCGCTCCACCTGGATGCTCTGAGTGACTTTGGGGCAAATTTCAATTTCTTGGTACAGCTGAAAATCACAAAGAAGAGTCCAATTAGGGTTTCACGACAGATACGTTTCAGAAACAGCCCTCCTTTTGGAAATCTGTCTTCTCACGACGGACGCTCGGACACGCGCTCGTCACAGCCCGGGGTGTTCCCACCGCCCTTTGGAGCCAGCGTGGGAACCTGCAGCCCATGCTCCCAGACCCGGCAACAGTCCCGGCTTCTAGATCATTCCTCGGCACAGCTCCAAGTGACTCGAGCTGTCTTTTCTCAGCCCTCGGTTATCATAGACCCGAAAACAATACTGAGGTTGTTGACAATCTCCAGTCCTGGAAGTGAGATTGGTAAACTCAGGACGAGGCTGGATGGGAATCGGGCATTTGGTGGTGAGCACACCACGGTGTATAAGCCAACCGTCAGCCCGGCCGGTGTGGCTCAATAGACTGAGCGTCATCCCAGGGACTGAGGGGTCCCAGTTCAATCCCCAGTCAGGGCACAGGCCCGGGTTGTGGGCTCGATCCCCAGTAGGGGGCGCGCAGGAGGCAGCTGATCGATGTTTCTCTCTCACATCCATGTTTCTCTCCCTCTCTCTAAAAATTCAATTAAGAAAACAAAAGAATTTAAAAAAAAAATAACAAAAATAAAGCTAACGAATTATGATGGTGAGCACCTGACACGTACATCACGCTATTAACCAAGTTACTTGGATAAAATATTAACTAATTAAATAAATATCCGAGGAAAGGGATCAGAGGCGGCCACCGAGACCCAGCCGTGGGATCCGTGGAAACAGCCGCGGTCTCTGCATCCGCGTTCCCTCCTGTCCACACCTGCGCCCGAGCGTCACGGGCAGCCGTTCCGTACCCAGGGGACGCCCTCCGCTAGCCGCGGGATGAGGCCAACGTCACCGAGGAAACGTCCGCACGCACTTCAGTCAACTCGAGACCTCGAGAAAGCCTGGGAACGGGGTGAGAGAAACTGCCCACACTGGACATTTCGTTTCCGTGAACCCAGTGGACACCTCACTCCCGTCCGCCTGGCGCCGTGGTCGTCATGAACAGGGACCCCGGTCGCCACACTCGCTCTCTCGCACAGCGGGGCGCCCCGCTCTACCGCTGAAAACATGGGGCCGCCTGCCGGGTGGGCAAGGGGTCCGAGCCCCGTCCTGCGGGGACCGGATGCCAGCGGGAGGGGCACCCTTGCTGACGGCCCCTCCCAACTGGTGACCAAGGTCCCAGAACTGACCGTGCAGGGGCTCCTGAGGGTATTTAAACTGTCATCTGATTTCGCGCTGAACAGAAGTCGGGGTACTTGTCCGAATTCTCCCCATCGGACCACACAGTCCTTATTCAGAAATCGGTTTATTCGGGCACATGGAAGAGAAGGCGGGGTCTCTCTGTCCACTGTTTTAGGGCGTCTGACAGGTGGCAGGTGAGCTTAACCATCGGGAGTCCGAAGACTGAAAGCCGGTCTCTGCGGGGAAGCCCAGGGAGGTGGGGGCTGGGGACTCGGCCACAAGCCCGCGCCTCAGCACCCCATCCCATGTAACTCCCACCAAATGCAGTGAGTTAAGGGCATTACCTAATGGGGTTTTACTGTTACGCTTTACAGAACATTTTTATACAAATAAATTCTGAAATGAGAAGAAATCGGTTATAATACTGATCTTCAGTTCAGAAAATACGTTTACCGGAATGGTAAGTATCAAATGTGGTGAAGTATACAATGTATCTCGTAACGCCACGGAATGTCAGTCCAACAACGTCGGTGTAACTTATCTGGGGCCCGAGTCTGACGTTTTCCAGTCTCCTTGAGAGTCAGCCAGCCTCCTCCACTAGGTGGAGGTGTATCCCTGTCCTCACCCCTCCGTCGGGTCTTCCCAAGGCCGGCAGAGCCCTGTGCGGACTGTCCTGCTCTCCACAGGGCCCCTCCCACTCTGACTGGTCTTTAGGTGCGTCTACCAACCTCAGACACCTGCCACCTGTCAAACGCCCTAAAACAGTGGACACAGAGACCCCGCCTTCTCTTCCATGTGCCCGAATAAACCGATTTCTGAATAAGGACTGTGTGGTCCGATGGGGAGAATTCGGACAAGTACCCCGACTTCTGTTCAGCGCAAAATCAAATGACACTGGAATTCAGCTTAATAAGCGCTGATAGAACATGTCACATTTCAAGAAGGGTCTGTGTTTGAAGGTGTGTTTTCCGTGTCCCCACAATACCCGAAACTAGAAGGTTTGAAATTCAGTCGTTTCGCACGCAAACACCTTTGACGATGTCGTACACGCCCTTTCATTTCACCAAATCACTAACGATTTCCTCTTTCCAACAGCCAGGCTCAAAGGCCATCGGAGTTGAAGCAATAACTTGATTTCTCAGCACCTGAGTTACGATACGACCGTGACCATCTGTTACCAGGTCTCCTTGGAATGCTCCGGTCCGAGCCACCGTCACCCACAGCCTGACCGTCGGCTGGCGGCCTCCTGTCTGTCCCGGCTGCTCTTGCGCCCTGAGGCCCCGCGGCACAGCCGCCCGCAAGCCCCTAGAGCAGCAGCAGGGACGTGTGTCCTGGCCCGAGATTTCCCTGCTCCCCTCCCCACCATCTCCTGAGTCCCAGACCCCCAGCCTGCTCACTACCTGCCCAGGGACCCTGCCCACACCTTCCTCCCAAACACCTGTCTGCTCGCTCACCTGCGGTTCCAGCATCAGGTCTGAGAGAGCAGAACAGCCGCTTCCGGACGCCCCACCCCCTCGGCCTAAACTCTTTCTTTCCAAGCGCTTACACCCCCTAAAGTACACATTGTTTACATGTTTTAGTGTCTGTCCACAAACTCGTATGTCACTTCTAGAAGGAACAGAAATTTTGGGGGGTGTATCCCAGTACCCGAGCAGCTACAATGGGGCCCGTTTGCAATAGTTAAGAAAGAACACCCTAGCCCTGGCCGGTTTGGCTCAGACCGAAGAGTGTTGGATTCGACTCCCGGTCAAGGGTTTCGGGTTCAAGGGTTTCGGGTTTGATCCCCACACCTGTCAGGGTTGTGTGGGAGGCAACCAATTGATGTGTCTTCTGACATCGATGTCTGTCTCTCTCTCTCCCCCTGCCTATGTCCCTCCTTCCCATTCTATCTACAAAAATTCAATGGAGCCCGGCCGGTGTGGCTCAGTGGTTGAATGTCGACCCTGCACCAAGAGGTTGCCAGTTCGATTCCCGGTCAGGGCACAGGCCCAGATTGTGGGCCCGATCCCCAGTGGGGAGCATGTAGGAGGCGGCCAATCGATGTTCTCTCTCATCGATGTTTCCATCTCTCCCCTTCTCCCTTCCTCTCTCTCTAAACTCAATAAAGAAAAACAATTTTTTTAATTTAATGAGAAAATATCATTGGGTGAGGATTAAAACAAAAAAGAAAGAACACCATGGTCTCCTTATAACATAGTCTTTACAAAATTACAATATGCAGACACTCAGTCTGTTATACTGGAGGAGACTCCACCATGGCCAACACTGAAGAAGTGAGTAACCCCACTTCCAACACTCGTCCCAGGCACCTGTGTGGCGGACGTGACGGTCAAGGAAGTTGGTCAGATGTGACCACTGTCACTCAGGGCGGGAGAGAGTCACTGGCCCCGAGACGCAAAGTATAGGATCTCACGGCTATTCCAACGTCGTCAGCAAAGCACGTACCCTTTCTAAGTAAGACAAGGGTTTTCTTTCCTCTGTTCAGAAAGCAAAACGCCAGGTCTTTTCCCAAAGCCCGAGAAGGAAGAAATCAGCCTCTCCCTGCCCTCTCCTGCCCTGGCTGGGTGGCTCAGTGGTTGAGCATCGTCCCGTGGACCAAAAGGTCACCGGTTCAATTCCCGGTCAGGGCACGTGCCCAGGTTGCAGGTTCAGTCCCTGGCCAGGGTGTGTGCAGGAGGCGACCAACTGATGTTTGTTTCTCTCTCTCTCCCTCCCTCCCTCCCTCTGTCCCTCCCTTCCTCTCTAAAATCAGTAAAAACATTTAAAAATGCAATAAGAGTGCCTGTTCCTCTGTTAACTCCCACTGGTTTCCGTGACGGTGAAAATGGGCCCATCCTTTTGAGCACTCACTGCAAGGCATGATGGGAGTCCACAGAAACACAGCCTCTCCCGTATGTCACTGAAAACACTTCAAGGGCACGAGGACACGTTTTGGGGGGAGGGAAAGTTCTACAGCATGACCGGATCCACTCGGAACTCATTGGCCAGTGTGAAAACCGGTGAGTTTTACTGGCCATTAGGCAGATGTCAAAAGCGCTGATTAAAATCAAAAGCCCTGCTACGTTTTGAACCACGTTTCCCCTTTCAGGGAGGCTCCCCAGGCGTGGGCGCCCGTTCTGTGCGGTGACAGTTACCACGTGCAGCTCCGTGGAGGGCAGCCCGGTGGCCCCGGAGGGATGACTAAGTACAAACTCCAAGAAGAGGCCCCACGTCCCTGTCCCGGAACTGGAAACGCACCATTTGGCTAACAAAACAGGAACGTGTCACGGTTGCTGCCGTGACGACCATTTATGGAGCAGCTACTAGGCAGACCGTTACTTTGTGATGTTGCTGTTGTTAATCCTCACCCGAGGATATTTTTCCACTGATTTTTAGAGAGCGTAGGAGGGAGGGAGGAAAAGAAACATCGATATGAGAGAGACACATTGATTGGTTGCCTTCCGCATGACCCTGACCACCGAGGCCGGGGATCAAACCTGCAACCCAGGTACATGCCCTTGACTGGGAATCGAACCCGAGTCCCTTTGGTCCTTGGGCCGATGCTCTAACCGCTGAGCAAAACTAGCCAGGGCTCATTACCGCTTATCTTTACAAAAACCCCAGAGAGTGATATCATCGCCTCACTTGTGCCCCAATACCACACAACCAGGAAGGAGCAGAGATGATACACAGCCCAGACGTAGCCAAGAACGCAAGTCCCACAGCGACATCGGGTCTGCTCCAGGAATCGACACAAATGTAACTACAAAAGGCTGTGGGACAGGTCAGTGAAGGGCAGCTGTTTCACTCAACAGGACTCAACCCCCGAGTCTCGTGCAGGGAGAGTCACACAGAACTGGAGTCAGTGTTTGTCCACGGCCAGCTGGTCTGAGTGGCACCGAGAACCACGCCCCGCGAGCCCGGGGAAGCAGCTCCGCCCGGCTCCCTGCCCAGACAGGTGGCTCCTCCACCCTGCAGAAAGGCCACGCCGAGCCACGCCCACGCCACACAGGTGCCTGCTGAGAATCCGCTCCGCCCCACCCCCACCAGCAGCAGGAGCCCACGTGCAATGTGAAAACCACCCCACGGTCACACACGTTACCAGCTCATAGATGTCCTCCTCGGGCTGCGGCACGTACACCTGCATTTTGTTCTCGATGAGAAATTTCAGACGCAGGTAATGGGCGGAGTGATCCAGCTGGTGAGCCTGGGACAGAGAGGACAGAAGGGAAAACAGTCGTCAACAGGAGCCACGGCACCGCGCCAACACCTCTCGGGATCCCCGAGAACGGCAGAGGCCCTTGGCGCAGGGGCGGAGTACGAGGTCTCTGTCCTTCCTAGAAGGTGTCCACCTGAAACCCAGATGACCGTCACCGCACGTACCACCAACACGCCACAGCCCCTCCCAGCCCACTTCTGCCTCTCTGAGTCACGGACACTCTTGAACGCGGGTTTGGCACGAAACCCACCGGAACACAGCGGCCCTCGGACATCATTCCAAACACACAGAGGTGACCCGGGCGGAAGGGGGAGAAGGCGGCCAGGGGCACTGAAGGGGAAGCGGTACCAAGGCCACACTGTGTTTTCAGCCACGCAGGACGCTGTCAACAGTTCATTTGTAAGCGAGTCCACGTGAGGACAGGACATCCGGGTCCCGGTCTTACTTGTGTACACCCGAGGGCGGGACTCCCGCGGGGCAGCGCCGACAGGCATGCGTCCAGCTCCGGAAACGCACTGCGCCGCTCGCCCAAGCAAACGAGTCAAACAGCCGCGGACGGACGCGGACTCCCAGGCTCCTCCCGGCCGGTCCCACCATCTGAGGACTGATCTCTGAGCGACACCGTTTCAGAGTCGGCGACACGCAGCCAGCAGACGAGGGAAGGCGAAGATGCCCTCCGAGCGCTCCGTGGCCGCGCCGACGTGGCCGCCAGCAGGTGCTGCGATCCGGCCCCCTCATCGCCCGGAGACGCGGTGCACAGGTGCGGCAGACGGAGAGCGGCGTCTGGAGTCTGCTCCCACAGTCCTCAGCGCCGGGCTGGGGCAGACTCGGGGAACAGAACTCCATCACTGGAGACCCCAGAGCGAGCTCGCCAGGCGTGGGTTATTCTCCCCTCTTACATAGGCCTGAAATCCTCCGGACGCATAAGATCCCCTCACACCAAAAGTCCTCGTTGTGACCCTCCGAGGAGGGAAACCAGCTCCCGTAGCATCCGTAGTGTTTTCCAAAGCAGCGGCCGCGCTCAGGCGCCTGGCTCCGAGCTCGCCGGGTACTCGACTCCACCGGGGTGAGCACCCAGGGCCCGGTACTTCTCAAGTGCACACCCAAGTTTTCCGTTTTTCAACTCGTGAGACATAAACTTTGTCCCAAAACATACTGTTTTTGTCTGCTTTTCCTTGTTTTGGGACTACGAGCCGGGGCTCCACGGACAGTTGGGCGGGGTGACCCTCGTGGTGCAGGGACGCAGGCCCTGACGATGCTGTCGGAAGTCTTCCCGGTGAGGAAGGCAGACGCTTCTAGGCAGCAGGTCCCAGCACTGAGATGCAGACACCTAGTGCCCCCCTTCCTTCCGTTTCTATCCAGGCAAAAGCTCGAACGCCATCGGAATCGGGCCATCGTACTCCCCACTCGCCATCCATTTCCCACCCGTCAGTGTTACGGGAAAACCCTGCCCTAACTCCACCCCTGCCCGACCGAGTCCACGGCCGTGGGCACTGCCCGGGAGTGGAGCCTGCTGGCCCCTACGCCCGACACCTTCGCCCACACAGCTCTGGACGACGCATGCTCTCTAGCCAATGTGCTAATCGCTAAGTAAAAGAATGCAGAAATCCCCGATGGACGGATTTTGTGCCATAAAATGACAAAATGGGAACAAAACGAGACCACTGTCTTCAGAACACTGCCACGCATGCACAGGAAGGATCCAAAGCACGCGATGGCGTGGCGTCTGTTTCAACCCCACGCTGGGCTGGTCTTAGGCCTCTCCACCTTCTCCTCGGGACACGGCCCAAGACCCCCGTGGCCCAGACCCCAGACCCCGTGGCCTGCTCACAGGAAGAGCCATGTTCTGTTCTTGACAAAGGCCCTAGTGGTTTGTTTAAAAACCACCAAGACTGCTGACTGTCCGAGCTCAGCCCTGAGACTGCGGAGGTGGGGAGACTCGGGGTTTCCAGGACACAGGGTAGTGAGTCCTGCACTGGCCACGGGGTCCATCAGCTCCCTCCTGGACAGAATTGTGCCAGGAAACATCTCTACTTCCCCGCTCTGGCCCCAGGGAGACAGCTCACTCCCGAGGATGTGTCTACGGACCTTCCTGATGCCGACCGGGTCTGACCCCTCCTGGCTCAGAGGGGAGCAGCCAGGTATGGGTTCGCCCTCTGCACTGTGATGTGAGCCACAGCAGGGGACTGAGGCCTCTGAGCCTCACCTTGTCCGCCTGTTTAATGGGCAGTGGCCCTCCTTCCCAGACCTGATGACAACCCCAGAGGCGCCAATGCCGCTGACGGTGTGAGAGCTGAGCACGGGCAGGGCGCCTTCCTGCCTCTCCCTCCCTGAGCCAGTCGCCTGCACACCCTCGGGGGGGTCGGAGCCAGGCCCCCCTCGGAAAGGACAGAAGTTCCTACAGATCGAGGTGAGGGGGAGGGAGCTCACCGTTCAGCACTGAAACTAAAACTATAAATGGAATTACGTGCAAAGGAGAGAAATTTCCATCACAGATGACACACTTACATCAACTTCAGGTTTTCCCCAAAGACGCCCACAGAGAATCAGTTTCCAATCAGGACCAGTCACAGACACCCCCACCCCCCCATACATACCACACACACCCCACACACACACACACACACACACACTCACACACACCCCACACACACACTCACACACACACACACACACTGCAAGTGTGCAGAGCAGACTTGAAGGCCGAGGCCGAGAGGGTGACGGGGATTCTTCCAGATTCTGGAGAAAGAGTCTCCTCTCCGCTGCTTCTTCACCTCATCTCTCTGAAGGCTCTGGGGTGAGCCCGTGGGCGGAGCACAGACCAAATACACACTGTGGAAGACGCTGCTTAACAGAAAACAACCTGGCCCCAAAGGCGAAGAACTGCTGCTGCTGCACCCGATCACAGGGATCCGAGCTGCACCCCGAGAGCCCGAGGCGCCCCGCTCCCCCCAGACACCAGCCCGGGGCCTCACCCGATCACAGGGATCCGAACTGCACCCCGAGAGCCCGAGGCGCCCCGCTCCCCCCAGACGCCAGCCCGAGGCCTCACCCGATCACAGGGATCCGAGCTGCACCCCGAAGCCCGAGGCGCCCCGCTCCCCCCAGACGCCAGCCCGAGGCCTCACCCGATCACAGGGATCCGAGCTGCACCCCGAAGCCCGAGGCGCCCCGCTCCCCCAGACGCCAGCCCCCAGAGGCCTCACCCGATCACAGGGATCCGAGCTGCACCCTGAAGCCCGAGGCGCCCCGCTCCCCCAGACGCCAGCCCCCAGAGGCCTCACCTTGCAGATCAGCTCCAGCGTGTCCCGCGCAGTGTCTCCCGGGCGCACGACCGTCAGCGCAGACTGGTTGCTGGGCAGACAGAACCAGGACGGAGTGAAGCGCTCATGGGCCCAGAGGTCGCAGTCGGGAGTCTGCTGGTGGACGCTGGGTAAGCCCATCTCCTTCTCCAGCTACAACAAGGAACACAGTCAGCCGCGGGCCACAGGGGCGTCCAGCGATCCCAGGTCCCGGGGCACAGGGACTGTCTGTTCCTGCAAAGGCCCCGTGCAGAGGGGGTGCAGGGGTGAAGGACAAGGGGCTCCTCAGGGAGGGAGGAGGTGCTGAGAAGGAGCACTATGGGGGGCAGGGGTCCTGAGACCTCACACCTGCCCCAGGACACCCACAGGCCCACATGCATGAATGAGTGGGCACGGAAATTTGAAAGGAAGGGAGGAGGAGGAGGGAGAGAGGGAGAGATCTGACCCAGCAGCTCAGGTGTACTGCCATCAGTTCTCCGATAAACCCAGTCCAAACTCAGAGCAGAGAACCCCCCCAGCGAGGACTCTGCCACATGAGCTCCACGTTTCAGAGGCAACCACGAGGCCGAGGGAAGGGTTAGGATGACGCCCCGGGGCCGTCTATTCACAAGCAGCATCACCCTTGCTCCAATGGCACCTCTAGCACCACAGGAGGGCCAGGGCGGTCAGAGTCCCTCGGGGAGGAGCGTGGGGACCTGCCTGGGGGCCTCCCGAGGCTGCGCCTCCGCCCGAGGGCCGGGACAAGCAGCGAGTCTGTGGGCCGCAGGGACGTGTCTCATGGACACGTGGCAGCTGGTCCTATCCAAGCACGCTCGGCAGCCAAAGTAGGAGGCGGCCCAGGGCCATGACATGCGGGAGCCCGTCTGAGGCAGGCAAAGCGAGAACTACGTCAGGCTTCGGCGGCTGAAGGCAGCCCCGGGCCTCAGCACACGCTCAGGAGCCCGCCTCGGCCGCTGGGCTAGAACCAGGCAGAGACGCGCCTACAGGTGACCAAGGACAGGCTGGAAGCAGCCAGTTACAGGGAGAAGCAAGTTCCCCAACAGAAGCTGAAGCGGCCCCGTCACAAGTCCCACGCACGACAGAGCGTCCCCAGAAGGGGGCAGACACTTCTCCTAGAGGCCACCACTCTCCACTCCACGCAGGAGACCGCTCAGCCCTGCCTCTGCAGACACGCCGAGGCCCGGGACAAGGACCCGTCCCAACCCAGACGAGACCGAGGCCTCCCGCCCGCCCCGCCCTGGGCCCTCAGCCCACCTTCTGCATCTCCGAGCCCCTTGGGAACAGGACTCCCAGCCCAGAAGTGGGGCAGGGAGGATCCTGGGAAAAAGGGAAAAACTAAAAAGCGACACAGAGACCCAGTGGAAACACGGGGGCAGTGTCCAGCACCTGTGCCCGGAGTGGACACCCCAACACGGAATGTGTGCGGAGCGAGGTGAACACGCTGACTTCAGAAATGGCCACCGCGCCTGAACCGCAGCAGGTCCAGCGACCCGAATTCATCGGACACGGGCGCGCGGAGAACGCAGGGACAGACACTCGCCAGGGCAGCTGCCTCTGCTCGGTGAGGACACGTCACCGGGAGGGTCTGGGTCGGAGAGGGAAAATGGCCCCTCTCCTCGCCCCGCCCCGCCCCGCTTGGGTTCAGGGGCTCAGCCATCCAAGCGTGGCTCTGGGCCCCCGCTGGCCACCACCGACGGCTGCAAGGCCACCAGGGCTGGATCCTGCCGCACGACCCGAGTCTGAGAACCAGCAACCCCCAAGGTCGCAGCACCACGGCGCTGAATAAAGAGGCTGCTGGCGCCACTGTTAGGGTCTTAAAACTCGGGGTGTCTGTTTATTTAGAGGCTAAAAAAAGCGGCCTAGAAAAAAATTAAAATTCTCCATGGGCCTTTAATCCAAGCGGTTTGAATGCCGCTTTTAAACCCAAGCACGAGGCTGATCCAAGTCTGTAATCCGTTCCCTGAATACTTGTCTGCAGAGGCAAATGCCGTTTTGGGGGGAATGTTGTGTTTGTTTTTTAAAGAACCAACTATCAGAAGAGCTCTTTGGAACTAATGGTAATAAACTGGCATGTGTGTGGGTGGGGGGGCCTCACCTCTGCGGGGGACGCTGCACAGAACGAACTAGCAAGCGCATGAAACCTTCAGCTCCCAGACCCCACGTCTCCCCTCACGTTCTGGATGGAAACTCACGTTCAAAGGACAAGTCCTGAAAAGGTAACACCTGCAGGAGCATGTCCGAACAGCTACGTTTTATTTTTTTATTATTATTTTTTTTATCCTCACCCGAGGATTTTCCATTTTTTGTTCAGATAGAGTAGGAGAGAGAGAGAGAGAGAGACAGAAACATCGACGTGAAAGGGACACATCGAGTGGCTGCCACCCACATGACTAAGCAGGGCCGGGGACAAACTGCAACCGAGGTACATGCCCTTAGCGGGAACCGAACCCGGGTCTCTCCGGACCGCAGGCCGACGCTCTAACCGCTGAGCCAAACCGGCCAGGGCCGAACAGCCACGTTTCAAACGTAAAATGCCACCTCCCGTGGACGTGCTGGCCAACTTTAAAGAACGAATCGTTCCGGCGTGGAATACCGAGTCTACTCATTCGAGGGTGCCCAGAACCCACCCCATCGTGTCGCACGGGGGCATCCGTGGTGCTTTCGGAAAAGACGCAGGCGTTTATTTTTACCTTGCCATCTGGGACGGCGTCATCGAACACGCCCTCTAAGGACTGCTTGACGGCGTCCGGCCCCTCCCCGAACACCTGCAACACAACAGTGTCGTGTGAGAAATCCGGGGGCAACGGCGGCTGAGCGAGCGTCAGATGCTCGGATCCCCCCCGTCCCCGCCGTGCAGGAATCTTCGGAAACAGACCACGCAGAGCACGGCCCTCGCCCTAGAACCCCGCCCGCACCGCCGACGGTTTACAAAGTCCGCTCTGGCGTCTGCATGACGCACTGCAGTGAAAAGTGAACCGCAAGAGCGACGCGCCGGAGCCGTTCACGCCGAGGGGCTGCTGCTGCGGACTCAGATCCCTGGTCCGAGATCGCTCCGGAACAATCAGCTCGCTTCTCCAGCTCCGGAGGGGACACGGGCGGCACACTGATGTGGGTTTTAACCACGCCAGAGAGAAGGCTTTTTAATTACACAACACAGAAGTCTGTCTATTCCCGGAAGTGAAGTCCTTCTAACGTGAAGATGTGACCGAGGGCGAGGGTGAGGGCACACTCGGAGCTCAGGGCCCGGAGACGGGGCTGAGAGGGCCGCTCTGCTCGGCTCAGCCCGGCGGCCACTGTGAGAGCAATTAATCCTCGAGATCCAGAAACAGCCTTCGTCCCAGAGCCAACGAGATCCAGAAACACAACTGTCCGGCCGGTGTGGCTCAGGGGCTGAGCGTCACCCATGCACCAAGGGGTCGCCCGTTCGATTCCCGGTCAGGGCACATGCCCAGGTTGTGGGCCCATCCCCAGTGGGGGGCCTGCAGGAGGCGGCTGATCGATGTTCTCATCCATGTTTCTGTCTCTCTCCCTCTCCCTTCCTCTCTCTCTAAAATCAATTAAGGGGAAAAAATTTAAAAAAGAAGAAACATGTGATTTTTGTCCATTTGCAAGGACTGACCTGAGTACTCTATGGGTATGCTCATGGCTACGCAGGAAGTGTTCTTAGCAACTCACTTCCAGAGAGAATCGCAAGAACTGCGTATAAGACACGACGTTGTCCTCTGACTTGCACAAATGTGGAGACGTCTTCTTGCGGTTCCTGTAAATTCAGTCAGACTTTCAACAGCCTGATTCCAACACCAGAAGCACCAGCCGGGAGGTCCCGACAGTTCACAGCGGTGGCCTGTCTCCTGCCAGGAGGGACGATCGTGCCCGACGACACGACCAGGGGGTGAGGGTCGTGCCCCTTCCACGAGCCCCATCCCAGCCTCAGACCCCTCGCGTGCTCCGTCCGATGAGACACGGGCTCCCCCGTTTCCTCCGATTTTCACAGCAGCAGAACCCACGGTGGCCAGGTCACGGCCCCCGTCCCGGAGACCGCAGAGCGGACTGTGAGCTGCGGCCTCGTCCGCTCGCCCGGTGTCCTGAGGTCCCGGGGCGGATGCAGACGTCCCAGGTTTAAATGGCGAGCGTGGTGGTCGGCAAAAGCCTCAGCGCGTCGGCCTTCGGGGTTCGCTTCTCCCCAAAGTTCTTAAGTAAACGAACGGCGGCAATTGTGCCGATGAATAAGGGCTCTTTGCATCCAGTCGGTCCATCGCCGCCTCGGTCAGCATCAGGGCCTCGGGCCCAGGCACCACGGTCCACGCAGCACACATCCTGTTCTCCTCCCGAAAAAGGCACCCGCGTTCCCTCGGCCCCGGGAGCCCCAGCAGACCGTTTCTCCAAGGCCCACCAGTGGCCCAGCAGGCAGCTGGCCTTGGAATGAGCGAGGCCGCCGCCCACAGCAGGCAGAGCCGTTCACAAGGCGCCCCGAGCCCCGAGCCCCGACCCTGGGAGGGGGGAGACACGCGGACGCGCGCACGCCCTGGAATGTCACCGCCAGACGTGGAGGGCGACCACCAGGTGGCCCTGGAGTCTGCGCCTCATCCAGGCCAGGGGCAGCTAAGAAGACTCTGCCCCGGGGCCCACGTGATTCGTCCTGAAGCCCCGCATTTCCCGGGACGGGACAGCCTGTGGGCCTCCAGCGGCTACACAGTTAAGCAGTCTGGACAGGGTGCAGGGGAGCCTGGACCGGGGGAGGGTCGGCCTCACAGGTCATCTGCTCAAGGCCTGGAGCTGACACCTGAGTGTCAAAGACCTGACGAAACAACAGCGGTGACAGGGAGGAAGGTCCCGCACGCACGCGCCTCAAAGGGAGTGTTGTGGGAGCAGCCCCGGCGCCCCCGCCCCCCGACCCACCTGGTTGATGCTCGGGTGACCCTGCTTCTTCTTGGAGGTTGTGTCCAGTCCCCAGAGAGAAGAAAACCTGCTCCTCCGCTTGCTGGTGGACCGGGACATGGCCTGCGTCCGCCGCCTCACGCCCGTCTCGCCGGTGCGGGCTGCCACCTGAGGACGGCAAGGGGGGACACGCAGGGGGCGTCAGACCGCGCACCCATTCCCCAAGGACCCACCCACCTACTTCCAGCCCCGCCTCCGCCAGGCCGGCACCGACCCCACCGCTGGTCCGAGGCGCCGGCCCTGGACTCGGAGGGGAAGGACGTGGGAGTCAGAGCGCTCGCCGTGTCGCTCAGAACGAGACGTCTGGTCACGGTCTGAACGCTGGTGGATGGCCCACGACCCAGCCTCCGAGCGTCTCCCCGATGCCTCAGGGCAGGGTCTGCGCTCAGGAGAAGCGGCCGAGCGGCCGCAAACAGCGGCGAATCCCAGGGGTTCCCGGGACTCCAGAGTGCGTCTCAGCGTATCGGCCCCTTCCGTTTCGTTTTCTCAGAATCCACAACAGTTTCCTTATCGGACAAGTGATAGCTCCCTCCTGCCCGCTCAGAGAGACCGACACGGAGCTGCGCACAGGGGACCCACTGGCTTCTCTCCCACGGGCTGTGACGGGGTCTGGTCGACGAGACAGAAGTGGAAGGTTTATGGGCACCTCCAGGGATCGTCCTCAAACAGAATGGGTTATCCGTGACCCTTCCTGATCCTCCTTCCCGACCCCTGGAGGTGCAGGGGTCAGCTGGTCGGGGACATCAGGACTGGGGACTTTTCGGGGAGAACAGAACAAGACGAAAGAGTCCCGGGTCCACGGACAGGGTGAGGCCCTTCGCGCGGAGCCTCGAATGCCCTGTGCTCAGCTGGAAGGACTAAGAGCTGAATTTTGTCTAAAAGAAAAAAGGGTCCGGCCGGTGTGGCTCAGTGGTTGAGCGTCGACCCTGCACCAAGAGGTCGCCAGTTCGATTCCTGGTCAGGGCACATGCCCAGGTTGTGGGCCCATCCCCAGTGGGGGGCGTGTAGGAGGCAGCCAATCGATGTCTCTCATCGATGTTTCTATCTCTCTCTCTCTCTCCTTCCTCTCTCTCTAAAATCAATAAAGAAAAAAAGGGAGCTACCCTGGCCGGATTGCTCAGTGGTTAGAGCATTGGCCAGCAGACCAAAGAGTCTCGGGTTCTATTCCGGTCAAGGGCACGCACCTCGGTTGTGGTTCAGTCCTCAGCCCTGGTCGGGGTCGTGCGGGAGGGGTCGTGTGAGTGTGTCTCTCTCCCATCGATTCTCCCTCTCTCTCTCTGAAGATAAATGAAGAGTATCCTCGGTTGATTTTAAAAAGGGGTGTAAACTCCAGGAGACATTCGCAAGGTGCCAGCAGCCCAGACAAGCACTTCAGAGGGGAGACACCAAACATCCTGCCACCGTGACCCCTGCCCGAGGGAACGTGAGCCCTGCGCCCACCAAGCCCGTCCTGGGGACCGAGAGAACGGCCAGGACTCAGCGGCCGCCCACGCTCTGCGCCGGCCAAGCGGTGTGCCAGGAGGTGCACCCGTCGGGCTGGAAACGAAACCTCCCCACTTGTTGCGGAGGTGAGCGTCTGGGCACCTACGTGGCCAGGATTCCCACGCGGCGGCTCCCGATGTGACGGCTGCCCCCTGGCGGCGTCTCGGGGATGAAGTATTGTCGGGCACACAGGCGCCCCAGCCGCGGGCGGGCCGGTTGGAAGGCAGGCCCCTCTGGGGTTTTCCGTATTCACAGCGTGACCCCCGAAGCCACCAGCAGGCCAGAGAGGAGACCGTGTGCTGTGAAGCAGGGTTGAAGCAGCTTCCCTGCCCGGCTACGGGGGGTCTGGGTCCCCGGTGGACACAGAGAGGAGGGAGCGAGGTCCAGCACGTTCCCAGCCAGCACAGGGGAGACCAGGCCAGGGCCTGCGGGCGGCACCCACCGGGCTGTGGGGGCGCGGCAGAGACGCAGAGCCCGCGGCCAGGCTCCCGGAGCGGCCAGGCTCCCGGAGCAGCCCTGTTGGCGGTACCGGAGCCTTCCTCCCAGGCCCCAGGGGAGCATAGTGCCCTGTGCTCACGGACGCAGCTGAAAACCCGAGTAAATGGTGCTCGAGGCAAAGCTTCTGGAGGAAAAAATGCCTCTACGGTCCCGTAGCTTTACGTCTACTTACACAGCTACTTCTCCACATGGGTACAGCAACACATAGATACACACACACACACACTTATTTATCACTATCTGTCCTCACTGTGCTTCTTTTTGTTTGGTTAATCCTCACCCAAGGTTATTATTTGTCCATTGATTTTCAGATAGACTGGAGAGGGGGGTAGAGAAACATGGATGTGAGAGACACACCAACTGGCTGCCTCCCCACAGGACCCCAACCGGGGCCGAGGATCAAACCTGTAACCCAAGTGCGTGCCCTTGACCAGGGATCGAACCCGCGGCCTTCAGTCGGCAGGCCGACGCTCTGACCGCTGAGCCGCACTGGCCAGAGCTGCCTGTGCGTCTTTAGCGGCTTCTGTGTTGATCACCCGGGTCTCCCACGAGAACATGAGTCCAGGTGACACAGGAGAGCACAGGACGGGACCGTCTCATCGAGAGGACAGGGACAGACATACGCACTCACATGGGCTCCTTGGCTGAAGGGACAGACAGACAGACATCGAACAGCAGAGGCCGACGTCCACACGCACTGCTCCCAACCCGGCAGCCACTCCTCAGCGCGGGAGCAGCCAGGGGAGGGGACTCGTGGACCGACGGCCCACAGCCCGGCTTCCCAGGGACGGAGCGCCGGCTCGCGCAAGTGCCGCCCAGTCCCCGCTCTGACCGCCGCGGGCCTGCACTCAGCTGCCCTGAGGCGCGATGACTCAACAGGAGCGGAGGGATTTTGAAATAAATAAAAAGCTGGCAAAAGTCCTAGTGGACAAGAGCTCAGGAGTCCCTCCGTGACCTGGGCCCAGAGAGGGCCTCCGTCTGCAGCTGAGCCTGGAGGCTGCCCATCTGTGCGCACAGGACCGACGGGAACCTCTCTGACCGAGCCCAGCCGGGACCCCCAGCCCCCGACATCTCAGGGGACCCCTCCGGGAATGATGCTTCAGTAGCTCAAATCCTCCTCCCGCGCTGTGGCCCCCACAACTCCTCCTCCCATCACCACCCCGCCCCCTGCTTAAAAGGAGGAAAATTATGTCTGGACAAAGGCTAAACTGAAGACTGTTTCAACCCGAAGGCTGAAAAAAATTCCCTGGGGTCAAACAACGAGGAGAGGAGGTAAAAATAAATATCCAATAAATCAGCTGGGGACACTCGGCCTGGGCTGGCACCTCCGACGGGCCCGTCTGAGCCGAACCCCATGAAGTGGGCCTAAGGCTCCTGTAAACGTGTAAATCTGCCCTCGTTATCTGAGTGACGATGCTGACGTACTTATAAAGAACGCAGGCTGGACCCCAGCTCGGGGTCCCACGAAGGGCAGCGGACCCAGGCCAGAGGGTGCCACTCGGTTCCAGGCAGCCTGCGGGCCCTGCCGGGGCAGCACACCCTCAGGAGGTGCTGGCTGGGACCCCCCGACACCAGGGTTCTCGCCTACAATTTCTGAGAAGAAAAGGACCCAGCGCACACACAGCCGCCTGCAGCTGGGTCAGGACACGGAACCACAGATTGGGCACCCTCGGCCCCTCGGAGGTCGGACGGACCCCTTCCCCAGCCAGTGCTCACGCTGGGCTGGGGGTCCGGGGGGGTCTCCGTGCTCCTCCAATGCATTAGGGATCTGTGGTCACGGGGACTAAGAGGGAAATAAATTAAAGGGACCTCGAAAGACATCTGTGCTTAGCATATCCATAAGGTTAATACAAAAAAATATACAGTTGGGACTTGGCCAATTTGGCTCAGCGGTTAGAGCGCTGGCCATCAGATCAGAGTCACAGGTTTGATTCCGGTCAAGGGCACGCACCTCAGTTGCGGTTTGGTCCCCAGCCCTGGTTGGGGTCGTCCGGGAGTCAACCAGTCAATGTGTCCCTCTCACATCAATGTTTCTCTCTCACTCTCCCTCCCTCCCTTCCACTCTATCTGAAGATAAATGCAAACATATTCTTGGGTGAGGATTTTTTTAAAAAATCTAAAAACAAGACCTGTCTGGCCTGTGTGGCTCAGTGGCTGAGCGTCGACCCTGCACCCAAGGTCGCCGGCTCGATCCCCAGTCAGGGCACATGCCCAGGTTGTGGGCCCATCCCCAGTGGGGGGCGTGCAGGAGGCAGCCAGTCGCTGTTCTCTCTCATCGTTGTTTCTATCTCTCTCCCCCTCTCCCTTCCTCTCTCTCTAAAATCAATAAAAAACATTGAAAAACAAAAAACAAGACCTAACGCTGACACGAGTTGCTACAAACAGTACACGCAAAGAGATCTCAGACGATCCGCCACGTTACCTCCGCACGGCACGCGCCCATCGACAGGCGGAAATGCTAAGTTTCAGAACAGAGTCAAAGGTGGACCTGCAGCCCCGCAGACAGCTGGCTGTCGGAACCACACACAGCGCGGCCCGGAGACACTACGCGCTCCGGTCGAGTCCTGCTCCAACAACAGGGCAGACGGCCCCCACGCCCACCAGCTGCCACTCACCAGGGCGTGAAAAGACGACACAGAGAAGATCCCCAGGCGCCCCATGGCCAGCTTTGTTGGTCGGCTGGCAAACGCGAGGAGCCTTTTGGGGTTCGGCAGCTCCCCGCCCTGGAGGCTGGCCAGGTAGCAGCGGTAACGAAACAGGTCCATCTGGAACTGTTCAAGGTTCTGCTCCCACACGAAGATCTGCAGCGGCGAACGCCAGGGACGAGAAAAGGGGGGGCAGGGGGAAAATGCACGTTAGCAGTTTTATCCTTCACAGATGTCCACAGATCTCTGGGCGACGAAGGCCTGATTTTCACCCTCGGGGGCGAACAGAAGGTCCCCGAAGTTTCTCAGGTAACAGCAGGTCGAGTATCACTGGCTTCCGCGTGTCTGTCCACTAAGATCTGTGGCCACACTCGCTGGGACGCACAGACACCGATCACCAGCGCCGCCGTGGGCTCCGAGCGTGGAGGCCCTGTCTGTGGGGGCTCCAGGCCCATCCGCACCGTCTCTGGGCTGCAAACCCAGGGCGTGAGAAGCAAAAAATGTGGGGTCTCCAGCACGGGGGAAAAATGGTCTCACTTTCCAAGAGCCGGCGTTTCGTAGGAGACGAAGAGAAGAAAAGTGGGGGAAGTGACGCGTGAGAGGCAACCAGCCGGGGTGTGGGGAGAGGTGGGTGGGGACAGCCGGGTGGGGTGTGGAGACGCCAGACAGTGGACATGCAGACTCTGGGGACACGGCTCCAACAGGGGAGATCCAAGAGGTTCCTCCCATTTAAAGTATCAAAAAGCCCTGGCCGGTTTGGCTCAGCAGTAGAGCATCGGCCTGCTGACCGAGGGGTCGCGGGTTCGATTCCGGTCAAGGGCACGTACCTCGGTGGTGGTTCGACCCCGGCCCTGGTCAGGGTGTGCGGGAGGCAACCAGTCAATGTGTCCTCTCACGTCGATGTTTCTCTGTCTCCCTCCCTCCACTCTCTCTGATGATAAAACGTAAAAATATCCTCGGGTGAGGATTAAAGAAATAACAATAATAAAGTGGTGAGATAAGACCCCCTCCCCCAAGGCTGATGGGATGAGTGAGGTCGTGTACCAGCCAGGCCTGGAGTGGGCCCGCGCACAGCGGCGGCGAAGCCGTTAACGATGTTCCGGACAGTGATCGATGGTCCACCTGCACTTGGGCTGAGCACACAGTGTGGGTGCACATGGGTTCACAGCCCCAAGGGAGACCCAGCCCAGGTTCCGTCCAGGGGCCAGGAGAAACCGGCCGTGGCGGATCCACACGGTGGATAATATCCGTGTGACACCGGCCAGCGTGGCGCATTCTCCAGAACGTGAGCCAGGTGGACGAGGTCAGACACAGAAGGTCACACACCGGGCAATCCCACTGACAGAAATGTCCCACACGGGTCCACGCAGAGGGACAGAAGCAGGGGCAGAGGGGAGCGTGTGCCCACCAGGCACGGGGCTCGTTCTGGGCGGGTAACCAGGCTTCGGAACGAGACAGAGATTACGGTTGCCCAGCACTGTCATCTGTACACCTTAAAACAGCCAAGGTTACGTTATGTGGATTTCACCTGAATTTAAAACACAGCCAGGTCGAGGAGGAAGCAACAGGGAAGGGGCAGGGAAGAACACGTCCCGGGGGTTACTCAGACAGCACCCACCAAGGAGCCGCTTCCCAAACAGGGCGAGGTTCCAGCGTGTTCGTGCGGCTGCCTCGGGCGCTAACACAGTGGAACAGGGCAGAGGGTCCCGGCAGCTCACCAACTTGCCCATTAGCGTGAGCTCTACCGACACCGAGACACAGCAGCCAGAGGCGCTGCTGCGGCTTCTGCAGCTGCACTTCCGGGTTGGCCGGGCAGTCCAGGGGGCACCCCACGGCCCAGCACAGCCAGGAAGGCTTCGTCAGATCTGCGCCTCCCTCCCGTGGGACCCTGCCCCCATCAGCTCCTGACCATCGGCCGCAGTCCGAGCCTGGACGGAGGGCGCTCACCTGGTCCAGGATGGTTTTCTTCTTCTTGGCGTCGGTGACGGAAGACAACTGCATCTCGCCCATCTTCTTCATCTTCTCATCCATGTCGATCTTCTGCTCCAGCTTCTTGATCTCCGACTTCAGGAGGCGGAGCGTGTCCTCCTTGTGGTGATGTCTGGCGACGGCCGCTGAGCATGCCGAGTGGATGGCGGTGACCCAGTTCTCCAGCTCCGTCTGGCTGGTGGTCTGCAGGGGGCCAAGGACAGACACCACCTCTAGGTTATTGGCACGAGCCCCGCGTGCCCCAACAAGTCCCGCTGGACCAAGGTGGCAGGGCCGCAGACATGCGGGGACGGCTCACCTCCCCGACTCCCACCGCAGACCACTGATAACATAAGCTCGTCTCGGTTGGACACCACCATCACCAGCATCCTGGGGCTGGCCAGGAAGCCAGGTGTCTGCTCACCCAGCACACGTACTGGGCTCACTATGGCAATGAACTGAATGTTTATGTCCCCCAAATCCAAATGTTTATGTCCACCACCCCAACGTGGTGGTGTTAGAAGGCGGGGCCTTTGGGAATGACTAGGTCGCAAAGGTGGGGCCCTCAGGCGGGGATCTGTGTCCTTCTGACAACAGACCGGAGAGCTAACTGCCCCCTTCTGCCCCACGAGGACACGGCAAGAAGCCGCGGTCTCTGAATCAGGGACCAGGCCTGGCCCAGCCGGCACCGGAGCTCAGACTTCCAGTCTGCACGAGAGAAATCCTGGGAGTTCCCTGACACCAGGCTATGGTGGTTTGTGTCACTGGCCCGAGCTCAGACACGTTGGTGATAACCCTCCACAGACGGACTCGCTTCTAGTCAAGAGGACGGTTATGCGGCCAAGGTCAGCATCCGGAGAGGACCCGTCAGCAACAAGGCCAGAGGGAGGCCAGGAAACACCGCCTGAACGAGGCCCTGGCCGGCCACTTCCCACACAAGCAGCCGCCGGTGTCCTTTTCCACGCGCAGAACACCGATTCCTTTTCCTCTGACGCACCTCGTTTCCTGACACTCGGGTGATGTCCGCAGACGGACTTCTGCTTCCAGGGCCCTGAGCTCACATCACATCAACTGAAATAAACTCAAGGCTCCCCACGGTCACTCTGCTAGCTCCGGACCTCAGCCTCGCGATCCACACAACACTGCACCGACTACTGCCGGCGTCAGCCCCGAGCCCGCACCCGGGCAGACCGGCCCATCCACACGTGTCACACCGTAGCAAAACGGGCCTGTGTGTAGACTTCCACACATGTTACATTGTAACAAAACAGGTCTGTGTGTAGACTTCCACACGTGTTACATTGTAACAAAACGGGCATGTGTGTAGAGACTTCCACATGTGTTGCACAGTAGCAAAATGGGCCTGTGTGTGGAGACTTCCACACGTGTTACATTGTAACAGAACGGGCCTGTGTGTAGACTTCCACACGTGTTACATTGTAACAAAACGGGCCTGTGTGTAGACTTCCACACGTGTTACATTGTAACAAAACGGGCCTGTGTGTAGACTTCCACACGTGTTACATTGTAACAAAACGGGCCTGTGTGTAGACTTCCACATGTGTTACATTATAACAGAAGGGGCCTGTGTGTAGAGACTTCCACATGTGTTGCACAGTAGCAAAATGGGCCTGTGTGTGGAGACTTCCACACGTGTTACATTGTAACAAAACGGGCCTGTGTGTAGACTTCCACACGTGTTACATTGTAACAAAACGGGCCTGTGTGTAGACTTCCACATGTGTTACATTATAACAGAAGGGGCCTGTGTGTAGAGACTTCCACATGTGTTGCACAGTAGCAAAATGGGCCTGTGTGTGGAGACTTCCACACGTGTTACATTGTAACAGAACGGGCCTGTGTGTAGACTTCCACACGTGTTACATTGTAACAAAACGGGCCTGTGTGTAGACTTCCACACGTGTTACATTGTAACAAAACGGGCCTGTGTGTAGACTTCCACACGTGTTACATTATAACAAAACGGGCCTGTGTGTAGACTTCCACATGTGTTACATTATAACAGAAGGGGCCTGTGTATAGAGACTTCCACATGTGTTACACCGTAGCAAAACGGGCCTGTGTGTAGACTTCCATACGTGTTACATCATAACAAAACAGACCTGTGTGTGGAGACTACCACACATGTTACGTTGTAACAAAACGGGTCTGTGTGTGTGTAGACTTCCACACGTGTTACACCGTAGCAAAAGGGGCCTGCATGTAGAGACTTCCACATGTGTTACGTTGTAACAGAACGGGCCTGTGTGTGGAAGATTCCACGTGCTAGACAGTCTTTCAAGGAGCTGCAGCGCTGGGAGGGCGGCCAAGGGAAGCGCGTGGGGAGACTGAGACGGGGGAGGACACTGACCTTCCAGGTGGACACTGACCTTCCAGGTGGAGAAGTCAGGCCAGTGCACGTGGGCAGAGCATCCTTTTCCTCCTCATCCTCCCATTCCAGTTGACAGTATTAGTTTACATGACTAAGACCCCCAGTTTTTTATGTTGGTTTGTTCTTTGTTAAACCTCGCCTGAGGATATTTTTCCATTAATTTTTAGATAGAGATAGAATGGAAGGGAGGGAGAGAGAAAGAGAGAAACAGAGACACATCAACTGGCTGCCTCCTGCATGACCCTGACCTGGGCCAGAAATCAAACCTGCAACCCAGGCATGTGCCCTTGACCAGGAATCAAACCGGGACTTCTCAGTCCATGGACAACGCTCAACCCACCGAGCCACAAGGGCCAAGCAGGATCCGACTTTAAAAGAAAAAAGTTCCCAAAAAGGAAATGCCAAGCGCTGGCACAGACTGGGAGCGGCTGGTCGGCACTGGCGGCTGGGAGGAACTGGAGCAGGCGCCCTGGAGCTGCCTGCACCTGCCGGTGGCCCGAACCGGCCCTCCTGGGCACACACCCGACACACACGCATTCACACGCACCCCAGATGCGTGCACCAGGATGCCCACACAGCACAACTTGCCGTGGGCCAAACGGGAGAGTGTCCCCACCCTGTGCACAGCGGAAGAGATGCGTCCGGGTGGTGTGAGAACATGGTGACGCGCTAGAGCGATGAGAACGAGGCCCCGCGCCCACGTCCACCGCAGCTGACCTCACACGAGCACAGACGGCAGGACTCTGCGGGACATGCAGACACGGTGATGCCCGTACATCCGAGAGGTGGAGGAGCTGGCCGGTGGGGGAGCGGAGGGACCGGAGGCACCTTGGGGGCTGACAGTCACTTACTGTGAGGCCCAATCTCTGCACGTATTTCAGCCGCCCTGTTCCTGAGCCACCCCACCCCCGCCATCAGCTGCCTTAAAGCAGGATCCTGTGGCCTCGGCCAGGAAGGAGGCACCGCCGTGGCCCCTGGGGACCCTGCCACTGTCATCACTGTGCACTGACAGGCAGGCCCGTCCGGGATTCCTCCGCTGCTGGGGGCGCTGTGATGCCGCATGGAGTCTGCCGGGGGCGGGAGGCCCGTTCTCGCCAACAGAGGAACGTGATCAGCAAGAACGCCTTCTGCACAAGAGCCGTTGAGTTAAAGGGGTCAGGGCTCCGCTGCGTGTTCAGGGGGTTCTGCTTCAATCACCCCACGGGATGGAGGCTCTGGTCCCCCTGGTTCAGATCATCGGTGGCTGGCGGAGCGGCAGGACAGGGACATGCACTGTAAACACGAGACGCTAGCACCTGGCGGCAGGTAGGAAACGGAATGGCAGGGGGTCTGGTCTCACAGCTGTAACGTGGGGACCTTCCGTGGAAAGGACACACGGGGAGGAGAACGAAGTCACGTGTTTCTAAGAGGCTAGCTGGGAACACAGTTCCCGTGTGAACTCCTGAAAGTCTCTCTTCTCACCGGGTCTCACAGGTGCCGACACAGTTCAGTTCTATGTGCACAGACCTCACCGAGCTATCAGATTTCGTGTCTGTAAAGAGAACGACAGACATGCCCCACCCCTGTACAGCGGGTCCCCTCCCGCCCCACCCTCACCGCCACCCGCCGAGGTGACGTCTCCGGAGAAGACGGGCTCTGGGCTCAGGAAGCACCAACTCGCTGCAAACAGGGCGACAGCGGAGGCTGCCCGGTGAGCGGCAACGGCGGGACCGTCAGTGACACCACCAGGGAGCCCCACAGGAACGGGGAGCCCCACAGGAACGGGGAGCCCCACAGGAACGGCCAACCGATCTGCCAACTGGGCCCCTCGCCGCACAGGCCGGACCACGGGTGACAGTGCCCAGACCACACCCGAGCCTCTCACACTTAGACCCGATCCGACAGCCAGGAACCGCCGGACGACAGGGACAGCATCCAGAATGAAAGGCAGGCCAAGGCGCCCCGCGGGAAGCGCATCCGGAGGAAAGAGAAACAACACCGAGCCAAGAAAACCTGCAAGTCGGCCTCATCCTGGGGACACAGAGAACAAAGCTGCGGACACACAATGCACAGGCCACGGAGGGAGGGGACAAGAAGATGAAGAGGAGGGGGGAGGGGCGGCAGGGAGGAACACTTCTAGGAATAGAAAATACATACATAACCAACACTAACACTTCAATAGAAAGCAGATCACTGTGAAGACTCAAAGCATCGGTGATGAGGCCCGGCTGGTGTGGCTCAGTTGAGCAAGGTCCCTATACCAGGAGGTCACCAGCCGGTGTGGCTCAGTGGCTGAGTGTTGACCCTGCACCAAGAAGTCACCAGTCGATTTCTGATCAGGACACACGCCCAGGTTTCAGGCTTGATGCCCAGTAGGGGGCATGCAGGAGGCAGCTGATCAATGTTCTCTCTCATCAATGTTTCTCTCTTTCTCTCCCTCTCCCTCCCCTTCTCTCTAAACTCAATAAAAACTTTTTTTTTTCAATTAGCGATAGGAAAAGCTTCAAAAGAGAAAATAAAGATGTTCAGAAACGAGATGGTGTCAGCAGAGAAGTAACAAAGGGGAAATGATTTCTAAACCAAAATTCCAAAGTCCTCAAAGATGACTCCAGTCAGAGGCAGAAGGAAGACTTTCCCAAGTATGAGCCATTCCGCAGGACATCGCTACAGGCTTCCTGGTGGAAGTAAGGCGTTTACTAGTGAGACAGGAGACAGGCTTGCATTCTGGGAATCTCACCAGGGCGGAGGGAACCCCGGCGGCTGTTCTGTGGGGGTCCTGAGAACGGCCAGACAGGAGCAGGAGGCTGAGGGCCCGGGAAGGGGGACGCCTTGG